ATTGGAGTCAAATGTAGTTACAGTTTATGTAATAGTCACGGTGCTGATAAGGTCAGGAAGCAGATTATTTATGCTAGGAAGAGAGATTATATCAATGAGAGGAATAGGTTGGGGAGAATACGTATAACCATTTAGACAAATGAATCATTTTGTATATTCAACCACAATGGTTTTTGTCAGAAAGTTGAAGGCTATGGCAAAGCAACGTGGTCTACGTGGATATTCTCGAATGAGAAAAGCTGAATTGTTTACCTTACTCGGTTTGGAATACAACAAACCTCAGACTGTTAGAGAACTCAAAGTTCGAGCGAGAAACAGTGGGTTGAGAGGTTATTCTCGAATGAGAAGAGATGAATTGATCGCTTTACTGGAACAAAAAGAATTAATATTTGTACCCACATCCACCGGTGTTGGTAAATATCTAAGAGGTTGGAAGATGGATATTAATTCCAACATGGATGTTAACGATATTAAGCCCATCATATCGAGTAAAATTAACGAGGAATTAGATGATTTACATAGTATAAAATACCAGCTGACGATTAAAATGACATTGAGTAAAAGTAACACAGATGATAGCACCGAATATACCGAACCATATTTCCGTAGCAATCAAGAAGTTTTAACCGAATCCGATGCTATAAACACATCATTAGATACATCAATTCAGAGAATACAGGAAACTTTAGAACGCTGGACTAATAGAGGTTCGGGTTGGGGAGTGGATAAAATCAATAGTTTATATTTAGATATAGCAAATTATATGCCCTTCAAAGGTGGATCTTATATAGATTTACCCCCGTATTATAAGAAGAAAAAAGCCATAATTAACGTAAAAAATAAATCCGATGACTGTTTAAGAATGATGATAAGATCTGCATTGTTCCCCGTAGACAAGCATCCAGATAGACCTTCTAGCTATCCCAAAAACGATGGACTCAACTTCGATGGTATAGACGAACCTACACCAATATCACAAATTGATAAGGTGGAAAAGCAAAATAATTTAGCTATAAATGTTTTCGGACATTCTTCTGAAGGAATTGTTGTACACAGGATAAGCTCCGCTCTGGAAAATATTCCCAGAATCAATTCATTTCTGATCGAAAAAGATGGTAAATATCATTATACGTGGATAAAGAGTTTAAACAGGCTACTATACGATCAAACAAAACATAAAGAAAAGAAATATTTCTGTGAAAGATGCCTACATGGGTACAGCAGACAAGATCTATTAGAAGCGCATAAAGAAGACTGTAGAGGTGTTGGACAGACTGCTATCAGGATCGATATGCCTAAAGAGGGAAAAAATATATTAAAATTTGAACATTATTGTAATCAAATGCCAGTACCGTACGTAATTTACGCCGACTTCGAAGCGCTTATCAAACCCATAGAAAATACTGAACACAATAATCAAGATAGTAGTTTTACGTACAAAACTCAAGAACATACTCCTTGTGGGTTTGGATATATAGTTGTAAGGTATGATGGGAAAACAAACACTCCTGTGATTTACAGAGGTCCCGATGCAGCGGGAAAGTTCCTAGAATATCTACAAAATGAAGAGAGAATAATCAGGGAAAAATTATCGTGTAAGATACCCATGCGTATGACGAGGGATGATTGGAGTACCCATAAGAAGTCAACGAGTTGTCACGTTTGTAATAAACCCCTGGATGGGGATTCTGTAAGAGATCATTGTCACGTCACGGGTAATTATCGGGGAGCCGCTCATAACGAGTGTAACTTGAAACTAAAAATGAACTCTCAAACAATACCCATCCCCGTTGTGTTTCATAACCTTAGGGGATACGATTCACATCTCATTATGCAAGCTATCTCAAAGACCGACGGCGGTTTAACATGCATTCCTAATAATATGGAAAAATACATATCGTTCTCGTGTAATGGGCTTAGATTCATAGACTCCGTACAATTTCTGTTATCTTCCTTGGACAATTTAGCTAATGCGAACAATCCCGATGACTTCACGATAACAAATAAATATACCGATAAGATAACTCGTCATTTGTTGCTGAGAAAAGGTGTATATCCTTACGAATATATGGATGGTTGGTCTAGATTCGAAGAAACTGAATTACCACCCCTCGAATCATTCTATAGTAACTTAACAGAATCTAGAATAACAGATGCTGATTATGAACACGCTCTGACGGTCTGGGATAAATTAGGTTGTAAGAATTTAGGTGATTATCACGATCTGTACTTAAAAACTGATGTACTGTTACTAGCCGATATATTCGAGATATTTAGAAAGACATGTTTCAAACAATACGGCTTGGACCTGGCATGGTACTATTCCAGTCCAGGACTATCGTGGGATGCATTGTTGAAGAAGACCGGCGTAGAACTAAAACTACTCACAGATTACGATATGCACTTGTTTATTGAGAAAGGATTAAGAGGTGGTATATCGATGACAGCTAAAAGGTATTCTAAGGCTAATAATAAATTAGTGGAAGGATACGATCCCAGTAAACCCAACACACACATATTATATCTCGACGCCAACAATTTGTACGGATGGGCTATGAGTCAACCTTTACCCATGGGTGGTTTTGAATGGGTCGATGATATCCATAATATCGAAGCGAATAAAGGGTACATACTAGAAGTTGACTTGGAATATCCAAGTTCGTTACATAAAGATCATAACAGTTATCCGCTAGCTCCCGAAAGATTAATGGTTAATAAAGATTGGATGTCGGAATATCAACGCTCCTTGATGGGTAATAGTAGGTTAGCTAACGTAGAAAAACTCATACCAAATTTGATGGATAAAACAAAATATATAGTTCACTACAGAAATCTCCAGTTGTATCTATCGTTAGGTATGAAACTTAAGAAAATACACAGAGTTCTAAAGTTTGATCAAAGCCCTTGGATGGAGCCCTATATAAGGTTGAACACAGATTTAAGAAAGATAGCTACCAGCGATTTCGAAAAGAATCTGTATAAGCTCATGAATAACTCGGTATTTGGTAAAACTATGGAGAATCTAAGGAAGCGTGTTGATGTTAAATTAGTCAGATCTGATGAGGAAGAAAGACTCAGGAAACTTATAGCCAGTCCGGCTTTTAACAGAAGCAAGATATTCGATAACGACTTAGCCGCGTTGCATATGCAGAAGAGTAATATAAAATTCAACAGACCGGTGTACGTCGGTATGAGTATTCTTGACTTGTCAAAACACTTAATGTATGACTTTTATTACAACGAACTTAAGAAGCAATACGGCGATAGATGCGAGGTGTTATATACCGACACAGATTCTTTGTTGATGGAAATACAAACCGAGGATGTGTATAAAGATATGGCAGAAAAAATAGATATGTACGACACGAGCGATTACCCAAAAGATAATCCACTGCACAGCGTTGTAAATAAAAAGGTGTTAGGTAAGATGAAGGATGAATGTGCTGGGACCCCTATAGCGGAGTATGTGGGATTAAGACCTAAGATGTATTCTATAAAGAAGTCCGATAATGGAGAGATAAGAAAAGCTAAGGGCATTAAGAAGTATGTTGTAAAAAAGCATATCAAACACGAACAGTATAAAGAATCATTATTTAACGGTAGAACGTTCAAACACGAGATGAACTCTTTAAGAAGTTACAATCATAGGATAGATGGATTAAGAATGAACAAGACATCATTATCCCCCTTAGATACAAAGAGATGGATTGATAATGATGGTGTAAATACCTATGCTTATGGTTATGGTGGTAATACCGTACCGTCGGGAACTATGAACAACTCTTCTCGTACAAATGCCCTACCCGGTCCATCTTGAAGATAATAAAGAATAGGCTCTCCTTCTTTCGTAACCAATTGACTAATGTTATACGTCTTAAGGGACCATATGGGATCGGTTGCGCGACGTAGGCCTCCTTCGAGTTCACCGGCCTGGTATAAATATCTTACCCTTACTCTATCCGGAAGTTTTCGTTCTTTACCTCTCCTCGGTGCTGAAGATTTGGAAGTCACGGATTTCATTTTAATAGCATCGGATGGTTTCTTCCCTATTAATCTCGTTACTTCATTATTCAGCGCTGATACAACAGCTGATAATCGTGTCACCCATTCGGTTGATCTCAATCGCTCGGATTTCATTTCGATCCCATACTGATAGCCAAACAAACGTTCCGCTAATGTCCTGTTAAATCTTTCGACGATAGCTTGACTGCGGTGGGCCTCTCTTTCACCACGGACGATTTTGACATCGTTCTTTGTTAACAGTTTAGTTACCGATCCCATAAACTCGCGACCGGGATCTACTTGAAATAGCTTAGGCCATTTTAGCGGTCCGCGTTTATATATGCGACTCAGTGCATTAGCTACCTCTGTTGATTCTTTCGATGTTAATGGCTCAGCCTCTTTGTATCGACTAGCCACATCCACTACTGTTAAAGCGTATTTATACGTTTTGCGTTTTACCTTATCGTGGGGAAGAAACAAGAGGTCAGCCTGATGAACTTCATTCGTTGTAAAAATATCAAACTTCTTCCTCGGTATATAACGCGGTGCTGGTAAATATATTTGCCACATCGCTTGTTTCTTTAACCAATCCTTGGCCACATCTTTAGATACCTTAGCCGCGGTGGCTAATTTTTTTATTGCTCCTACACCTTTCCAATATCCTTGTGGGCTATAGTAAATTTTATCCATTATTAATTAATATTGATATTTCGTTTAATACAAATCCAGCTACAGTGGAAGTGAGCTAGAACCCTTATTACCTATAAAAATTTATATCATTGGCCCCAGGTGGTGGTGAACTGGAGCCAATTTAACTTAATCTCATGACTATCATTAAATCACATAATTCATTTTGACATAAAAAATTCCATCTGTAGTAGCAGTATAGGTATATAAATCCAGCTACAGTGGAAGTGGTCCAGAACCCCCATTACCTATACTACTTACTGTGTTTTTGTTGTTGATGTGATGTTTACTGCATGTGATGTCCTTTTCAGGTTATACATCATCGGCCAGAGAAGTTCAAAGGGCAACTTGATTTCGGTACTATGGGAGTAGGAGAAAGTCGAAGTATGATTTTTACTGTGCGCAACGACAACCCAGTGGATGTGAGTATAGAAATTAGCAGGGGAATAAATATAGAGATGTCTGGGAAATGTAGAAATGTTGGGAGATGTCAGGGAAATGTAGACTGTCAGGAGATGTCAGGGAAATGTAGATTGTCGGGAGATGTCTGGGAAATGTAGACTGTCAGGAGATGTCTGGGAAATGTAGACTTTCAGGAGATGTCAGGGAAATGTAGACTGTCAGGAGATGTCTGGGAAATGTAGACTGTCAGGAGATGTCTGGGAAATGTAGACTGTCAGGAGATGTCTGGGAAATGTAGACTGTCGGGGGATGTCAGGGAAATGTAGACTGTAGGGGGATGTCAGGGAAATGTAGACTGTCAGGAGATGTCTGGGAATTGTAGACTGTCGGGGGATGTCAGGGAAATGTAGACTGTCAGGAGATGTCTGGGAAATGTAGACTGTCAGGAGGTGTCTGGGAATTGTAGACTGTCGGGGGATGTCAGGGAAATGTAGACTGTCAGGAGATGTCTGGGCATGGTAGACTGTCAGGAATTTTCAGGGAACTATAAATGCCGAGTTAGCCTCATTAGACTGTCAGTGACCTACATTTCCTGGAGTTGTGGTACAAACATTACAATGTTGGGGCTGCTGATCAAGATGCCAGCATCACCTGGGTTATCTCTGCACGCAGTGTGAAATGCAAGTAAACATCTGCATGGCTGGCAAACATTTAGCTGTACAGAGTATGTAGTGTGTAGTTTGTTCACCCGTTGTGTTTGTGTGCAGGTTGTGGTGGGTGAGTTTAGTTCCAACATGAACCGTACCACCGTCGAGATCCTTGGTATGGAGCGAGGGAACGGGACGACCCTCACCCGGGTACACAACAAGTCAGAGATAGACACAGATCCGGTGAGTCACAAGGCGCATCCACACTGACTGTACAGAAATCTGTCACATCTTCCAACAGGATGTCCACTATTTCTGTTCCTAACTGATGTTTTCAAAATGAACACAACACAATCACGCTGTTTTGATTAATTATGGTTGAACATTTCATTCAGAGGGTGTCATACCAAGAGATGTTAACAGATTGTATTTGTTACATCTCCTGGCACAAGGAATAGGGGATAAGAAGCGGACTGTCTGAGTGGGGAAGCCATGTAAAACTGCAGCATGGATCTCTATGTGCCAGCACTATCACACATGCACACACACTCACAATAATCTTGAATGTTACATTACATCCCTATCATCTCACCTGTATTGAGCCTGAGTAACTTGGCTCTTGGTCCAGTAAGCTTGCTTACTCTAGGGGATGTCAAGACTAGTCAAACTGAGACCATGTTTGTCTGTTGCAGCTGGTGATCAAGCCCTACCACTTTGCTGTGTTCAGTGTTAATGTTGTTGCGCCCAACGAGGAGGGGGCGTATGCAGCCGAGGTGTTGATAGTCACACAATTTCAGGTAGGAACATGCTCTCATCAAGACATCTCTTGAGAGTTGATTATAATGAGGGTCGATTGGTTGCAAAGTGTGGTGTGGATCATTGCTTGTGCCATCAACTGCTGCTTGTCTGGCTGAGACTTTGATATTTCCGGACTGTTGTGATGGAACTTCATTATCACCGATTGAGGCGGATAAGAATACTTACAATGTGCGAATCCCATTCTTGATCTCACATGATTGTGCTTGAATTGGGGTGTAAAACATGTTATCATTGAGTTGGTGTAAGGCAGTGTTGTCATCACTGACTTGGTGAAAGGCAGTGTTGTCATCACTGTGTGCCCTGCTGGTGTAAGGCAGTGTTGTCATCACTGTGTTGGTGTAAGGCAGTGTTGTCATCACTGTGCTGGTGAAAGGCAGTGTTGTCATCACTGTGTGCCCTGCTGGTGTAAGGCAGTGTTGTCATCACTGTGCTGGTGTAAGGCAGTGTTGTCATCACTGACTTGGTGAAAGGCAGTGTTGTCATCACTGTGTTGGTGAAAGGCAGTGTTGTCATCACTGTGTTGGTGTAAGGCAGTGTTGTCATCACTGTGTTGGTGTAAGGCAGTGTTGTCATCACTGAGTTGGTGTAAGGCAGTGTTGTCATCACTGTGTTGGTGTAAGGCAGTGTTGTCATCACTGTGTTGGTGTAAGGCAGTGTTGTCATCACTGAGTTGGTGTAAGGCAGTGTTGTCATCACTGTGTTGGTGTAAGGCAGTGTTGTCATCACTGTGTTGGTGTAAGGCAATGTTGTCATCACTGAGTTGGTGTAAGGCAGTGTTGTCATCACTGTGCTGGTGTCAGGCAGTGTTGTCATCACTGAGTTGGTGTAAGGCAGTGTTGTCATCACTGAGTTGGTGTAAGGCAGTGTTGTCATCACTGAGTTGGTGTAAGGCAATGTTGTCATCACTGTGTTGGTGTCAGGCAGTGTTGTCATCACTGACTTGGTGTAAGGCAGTGTTGTCATCACTGTGTTGGTGAAAGGCAGTGTTGTCATCACTGAGTTGGTGTAAGGCAGTGTTGTCATCACTGTGTTGGTGAAAGGCAGTGTTGTCATCACTGAGTTGGTGTCAGGCAGTGTTGTCATCACTGTGTGCCCTGTTGGTGAAAGGCAGTGTTGTCATCACTGAGCTGGTGTAAGGCAGTGTTGTCATCACTGAGCTGGTGTAAGGCAGTGTTGTCATCACTGAGTTGGTGTAAGGCAGTGTTGTCATCACTGAGTTGGTGTAGGCCAATGTTGTCATCGCTTAGTTGGTGTAAGGCAATGTTGTCATCACTTAGTTGGTGTAAGGCAATGTTGTCATCACTAAGTTGGTGTAAGGCAGTGTTGTCATCACTGAGTTGGTTTAAGGCAGTGTTGTCATCACTGTGCTGGTGTAAGGCAGTGTCATCACTTAGTTGGTGTAAGGCAATGTTGTCATCACTTAGTTGGTGTAAGGCAATGTTGTCATCACTTAGTTGGTGTAAGGCAGTGTTGTCATCACTGAGTTGGCTTAAGGCAGTGTTGTCATCACTTTGCTGGTGTAAGGCAGTGTCATCACTTAGTTGGTGTAAGGCAATGTTGTCATCACTCAGTTGGTGTAAGGCAGTGTTGTCATCACTTAGTTGGTGTAAGGCAATGTTGTCATCACTTAGTTGGTGTAAGGCAGTGTTGTCATCACTGAGTTGGTTTAAGGCAGTGTTGTCATCACTGTGCTGGTGTAAGGCAGTGTCATCACTTAGTTGGTGTAAGGCAATGTTGTCATCACTCAGTTGGTGTAAGGCAGTGTTGTCATCACTTAGTTGGTGTAAGGCAATGTTGTCATCACTTAGTTGGTGTAAGGCAGTGTTGTCATCACTGAGTTGGTTTAAGGCAGTGTTGTCATCACTGTGCTGGTGTAAGGCAGTGTCATCACTTAGTTGGTGTAAGGCAATGTTGTCATCACTTAGTTGGTGTAAGGAAGTGTTGTCATCACTTAGTTGGTGTAAGGCAATGTTGTCATCACTTAGTTGGTGTAAGGCAGTGTTGTCATCACTGAGTTGGTTTAAGGCAGTGTTGTCATCACTGTGCTGGTGTAAGGCAGTGTCATCACTTAGTTGGTGAAAGGCAGTGTTGTCATCACTTAGTTGGTGTAAGGCAATGTTGTCATCACTTAGTTGGTGTAAGGCAGTGTTGTCATCACTGAGTTGGTTTAAGGCAGTGTTGTCATCACTGTGCTGGTGTAAGGCAGTGTCATCACTTAGTTGGTGTAAGGCAATGTTGTCATCACTTAGTTGGTGTAAGGAAGTGTTGTCATCACTTAGTTGGTGTAAGGCAATGTTGTCATCACTTAGTTGGTGTAAGGCAGTGTTGTCATCACTGAGTTGGTTTAAGGCAGTGTTGTCATCACTGTGCTGGTGTAAGGCAGTGTCATCACTTAGTTGGTGAAAGGCAGTGTTGTCATCACTGTGCTGGTGTAAGGCAGTGTCATCACTTAGTTGGTGTAAGGCAATGTTGTCATCACTTAGTTGGTGTAAGGCAGTGTTGTCATCACTGAGTTGGTTTAAGGCAGTGTTGTCATCACTGTGCTGGTGTAAGGCAGTGTCATCACTTAGTTGGTGAAAGGCAGTGTTGTCATCACTGTGCTGGTGTAAGGCAGTGTTGTCATCACTGTGCTGGTGTAAGGCAGTGTCATCACTTAGTTGGTGTAAGGCAGTGTTGTCATCACTGTGCTGGTGTAAGGCAGTGTTGTCATCACTGTGCTGGTGTAAGGCAGTGTTGTCATCACTGTGCTGGTGTAAGGCAGTGTTGTCATCACTGTGCTGGTGTAAGGCAGTGTTGTCATCACTGTGTTGGTGTAAGGCAGTGTTGTCATCACTGAGTTGGTGTAAGGCAGTGTTGTCATCACTGTGTTGGTGTAAGGCAGTGTTGTCATCACTGTGTTGGTGTAAGGCAGTGTTGTCATCACTGAGTTGGTGTAAGGCAGTGTTGTCATCACTGTGTTGGTGTAAGGCAGTGTTGTCATCACTGTGTTGGTGTAAGGCAATGTTGTCATCACTGAGTTGGTGTAAGGCAGTGTTGTCATCACTGTGCTGGTGTCAGGCAGTGTTGTCATCACTGAGTTGGTGTAAGGCAGTGTTGTCATCACTGAGTTGGTGTAAGGCAGTGTTGTCATCACTGAGTTGGTGTAAGGCAATGTTGTCATCACTGTGTTGGTGTCAGGCAGTGTTGTCATCACTGACTTGGTGTAAGGCAGTGTTGTCATCACTGTGTTGGTGAAAGGCAGTGTTGTCATCACTGAGTTGGTGTAAGGCAGTGTTGTCATCACTGTGTTGGTGAAAGGCAGTGTTGTCATCACTGAGTTGGTGTCAGGCAGTGTTGTCATCACTGTGTGCCCTGTTGGTGAAAGGCAGTGTTGTCATCACTGAGCTGGTGTAAGGCAGTGTTGTCATCACTGTGTTGGTGTAAGGCAATGTTGTCATCACTGAGTTGGTGTAAGGCAGTGTTGTCATCACTGTGCTGGTGTCAGGCAGTGTTGTCATCACTGAGTTGGTGTAAGGCAGTGTTGTCATCACTGTGTTGGTGTAAGGCAGTGTTGTCATCACTGTGTTGGTGTAAGGCAGTGTTGTCATCACTGAGTTGGTGTAAGGCAGTGTTGTCATCACTGTGTTGGTGTAAGGCAGTGTTGTCATCACTGTGTTGGTGTAAGGCAATGTTGTCATCACTGAGTTGGTGTAAGGCAGTGTTGTCATCACTGTGCTGGTGTCAGGCAGTGTTGTCATCACTGAGTTGGTGTAAGGCAGTGTTGTCATCACTGAGTTGGTGTAAGGCAGTGTTGTCATCACTGAGTTGGTGTAAGGCAATGTTGTCATCACTGTGTTGGTGTCAGGCAGTGTTGTCATCACTGACTTGGTGTAAGGCAGTGTTGTCATCACTGTGTTGGTGAAAGGCAGTGTTGTCATCACTGAGTTGGTGTAAGGCAGTGTTGTCATCACTGTGTTGGTGAAAGGCAGTGTTGTCATCACTGAGTTGGTGTCAGGCAGTGTTGTCATCACTGTGTGCCCTGTTGGTGAAAGGCAGTGTTGTCATCACTGAGCTGGTGTAAGGCAGTGTTGTCATCACTGAGCTGGTGTAAGGCAGTGTTGTCATCACTGAGTTGGTGTAGGCCAATGTTGTCATCGCTTAGTTGGTGTAAGGCAATGTTGTCATCACTTAGTTGGTGTAAGGCAGTGTTGTCATCACTTAGTTGGTGTAAGGCAATGTTGTCATCACTAAGTTGGTGTAAGGCAGTGTTGTCATCACTGAGTTGGTTTAAGGCAGTGTTGTCATCACTGTGCTGGTGTAAGGCAGTGTCATCACTTAGTTGGTGTAAGGCAATGTTGTCATCACTTAGTTTGTGTAAGGCAATGTTGTCATCACTTAGTTGGTGTAAGGCAGTGTTGTCATCACTGAGTTGGCTTAAGGCAGTGTTGTCATCACTGTGCTGGTGTAAGGCAGTGTCATCACTTAGTTGGTGTAAGGCAATGTTGTCATCACTCAGTTGGTGTAAGGCAGTGTTGTCATCACTTAGTTGGTGTAAGGCAATGTTGTCATCACTTAGTTGGTGTAAGGCAGTGTTGTCATCACTGAGTTGGTTTAAGGCAGTGTTGTCATCACTGTGCTGGTGTAAGGCAGTGTCATCACTTAGTTGGTGTAAGGCAATGTTGTCATCACTTAGTTGGTGTAAGGAAGTGTTGTCATCACTTAGTTGGTGTAAGGCAATGTTGTCATCACTTAGTTGGTGTAAGGCAGTGTTGTCATCACTGAGTTGGTTTAAGGCAGTGTTGTCATCACTGTGCTGGTGTAAGGCAGTGTCATCACTTAGTTGGTGAAAGGCAGTGTTGTCATCACTGTGCTGGTGTAAGGCAGTGTCATCACTTAGTTGGTGTAAGGCAATGTTGTCATCACTTAGTTGGTGTAAGGCAGTGTTGTCATCACTGAGTTGGTTTAAGGCAGTGTTGTCATCACTGTGCTGGTGTAAGGCAGTGTCATCACTTAGTTGGTGTAAGGCAGTGTTGTCATCACTGTGCTGGTGTAAGGCAGTGTTGTCATCACTGTGCTGGTGTAAGGCAGTGTTGTCATCACTGTGCTGGTGTAAGGCAGTGTTGTCATCACTGTGCTGGTGTAAGGCAGTGTTGTCATCACTGTGCTGGTGTAAGGCAATGTTGTCATCACTTAGTTGGTGTAAGGAAGTGTTGTCATCACTTAGTTGGTGTAAGGCAATGTTGTCATCACTTAGTTGGTGTAAGGCAATGTTGTCATCACTGAGTTGGTTTAAGGCAGTGTTGTCATCACTGTGCTGGTGTAAGGCAGTGTTGTCATCACTGTGCTTGTGTAAGGCAGTGTTGTCATCACTGAGTTGGTGTAAGGCAGTGTTGTCATCACTGTGTTGGTGTAAGGCAGTGTTGTCATCACTGTGCTGGTGTAAGGCAGTGTCATCATCACTGTGCTGGTGTAAGGCAGTGTCATCATCACTGTGCTGGTGTAAGGCAGTGTTGTTATCACTGTGCTGGTGTAAGGCAGTGTTGTCATCACTGTGCTGGTGTAAGGCAGTGTCATCATCACTGTGCTGGTGTAAGGCAGTGTTGTCATCACTGTGCTGGTGTAAGGCAGTGTTGTCATCACTGTGCTGGTGTAAGGCAGTGTCATCATCACTGTGTTGGTGTAAGGCAGTGTTGTCATCACTGTGCTGGTGTAAGGCAGTGTTGTCATCACTGTGCTGGTGTAAGGCAGTGTTGTCATCACTGAGTTGGTGTAAGGCAGTGTTGTCATCACTGTGCTGGTGTAAGGCAGTGTTGTCATCACTGTGCTGGTGTAAGGCAGTGTTGTCATCACTGTGCTGGTGAAAGGCAGTGTTGTCATCACTGTGCTGGTGTAAGGCAGTGTTGTCATCACTGTGCTGGTGTAAGGCAGTGTTGTCATCACTGTGCTGGTGAAAGGCAATGTTGTCATCACTGTGCTGGTGTAAGGCAGTGTTGTCATCACTGTGCTGGTGTAAGGCAGTGTTGTCATCACTGTGCTGGTGTAAGGCAGTGTCATCATCACTGTGCTGGTGTAAGGCAGTGTCATCATCACTGTGCTGGTGTAAGGCAGTGTTGTCATCACTGTGCTGGTGTAAGGCAGTGTTGTCATCACTGTGCTGGTGAAAGGCAATGTTGTCATCACTGTGCTGGTGTAAGGCAGTGTTGTCATCACTGTGCTGGTGTAAGGCAGTGTCATCATCACTGTGCTGGTGTAAGGCAGTGTTGTCATCACTGTGTACTGTGGGTGTAAGACACTATTCATGAACTACTTGTGGTTTTTTTCAGGATATTTTTATACCAGTGACTCTGCGTACAGCTGAGGGGAGCCTTCATGCCATTCCAGACAAATTTGTTTTTGATAAGGTTTACCCTGTAAGTAGAAAGTCTTTCAGTCTTTGATTAAATCCAAGTATTCCTAAGTTAAAGATTATCTTCTCATTCAGTTAGAATATTGCAGACTGCAGTTCAACAGCAAACAAACTGAACATGGATGTAATTCTCCTCACCCTCCACGACATATAATGAGGAGGAATGGAGGAATAGGGTCATTGTCTAGCTGTGTATCCATCTGTATTTCATTTCTTGAGCATAACTTGAAAACAACATATATTAACCTTTTGCTCTTGTTGGGGCTGGGAGGATTTGCCATCTTCTGATGTGTGTTTTTGTTGCAGGGTAAAATTCCCTACAAAGTGCTACAGATACACAGTACATTCAGTGAGTACATGGAGGTGACCCAGGTGATGTTCCAGCCTGCAGACAGGAGGTTCTACTTTGTCCCCCAGAACCACAACACAGTTCTACTTCAGCCCCACGAGCATAATGTTGTGAGTAGTCTTGTTCCCCAGAACCACAACACAGTTCTACTTCAGCTCCACGAGCATAATGTTGTGAGTAGTCTTGTTCCCTAGAACCACAACACAGTTCTACTTCAGCTCCACAAGCATAATGTTGTGAGTAGTCTTGTTCCCCAGAACCACAACACAGTTCTACTTCAGCTCCACGAGCATAATGTTGTGAGTAGTCTTGTTCCCTAGAACCACAACACAGTTCTACTTCAGCTCCACAAGCATAATGTTGTGAGTAGTCTTGTTCCCCAGAACCACAACACAGTTCTACTTCAGCTCCACAAGCATAATGTTGTGAGTAGTCTTGTTCCCCAGAACCACAACACAGTTCTACTTCAGCTCCACGAGCATAATGTTGTGAGTAGTCTTGTTCCCTAGAACCACAACACAGTTCTACTTCAGCTCCACGAGCATAATGTTGTGAGTGCCATTAGTCTCCCTCGTTCATATCCTGGAAATTTCCCTGTTGGAAGGAATATGTCCTCATAAATGTAAATGACCCTTGAGTCCTGTTTTTCTGTAGCGTTCAATAGTTTATGAAAAGTTGATATGTCGCTGTGATTTTGTGCTTTGTGTCTTTTCAGGTTGGAAAAATTTATTTTGACCCTAAAAGGGGTTGCCAAGAAGATTGTTACGTTGGTTTACCAACATACGTACCTGGTAAGTAGGAAGTTGCTGCAAGGTGTCGAGTGTTGTCGAGAGTTTGAGCCTCACCAGTGTTTGCATTGGTCTCCTGTTGATTGTACGGTCCAGCAGTCTTTCAGAACCTGGGTCAAACTAGGTCTCCTGTTGATTGTACGGTCCAGCAGTCTTTCAGAACCTGGGTCAAACTAGGTCTCCTGTTGATTGTACGGTCCAGCAGTCTTTCAGAACCTGGGTCAAACCAGGTCTCCTGTTGATTGTACGGTCCAGCAGTCTTTCAGAACCTGGGTCAAACCAGGTCTCCTGTTGATTGTACGGTCCAGCAGTCTTTCAGAACCTGGGTCAAACTAGGCCTCCTGTTGATTGTACGGTCCAGCAGTCTTTCAGAACCTGGGTCAAACCAGGTCCCCTGTTGATTGTACGGTCCAGCAGTCTTTCAGAACCTGGGTCAAACCAGGTCTCCTGTTTATTGTACAGTCCAGCAGTATTTGAGTGAGTTTGGTTTAAAGCCGCTTTTAACAGTATTCCTGTTATATCAAGGCGTGTCAGCTTAATGTGGGAGGAAAGCCCGAAGTGATGCAGGTCTCTGACATTTGCCACTTCGGTGAAACCCATGAGCATGGGTATTGTGCTGACAAACCTAGAAGCATAATCGGGGCGAACTGGGATTCAAACCCACAATCATAGGTTTCTGGTGTGCCCAAGGGACGCAACTCTGCACAGCGAATCGCGGCGTCTTAGACGACTGGTCCACTCTGGGTCACACCAGGTCCCCAGCACTCCATTGCTAGTTGACCAGACACTATATTGGGTTAGGTGGTCAGGGGACTTGGTTGTAGGGGTGTCATTGTTCCCTTTATGCAGGCTGGTCTGCAGAGAGGACTCCTGTTTAGACTAGTTCCCTGGAGACCTATGCTTGTAGTAGGAGTCAATTTAATAAAAGTGATCAGATTCATTGACTTGGTGTCATTCTACCATGACATTGTTGAATGCTTGATTCTGATTGGTTAAAAAGAGGTTTCCTTTTTGCTTCAGAAACCCCCTTCAAATAGATTAAGCCTTTTCACACAAAAATCGTGCATATGTATACATCGATATCGATAGCCTACATATCAACCCATAAAAGAAGGCTGCCGATAACCCATCATTCGATCTCGGATTGCTTACGGATGTTTTTGGTGATGATTTTGACTTGCAAGAGGTTAACCCTGACTGGTTTGACGATGAGATGTCAATGGATGGATGTCAAAATCACGCATATATGCCACTGGTACCCTTTCCTGTCCCGTTGCTTCATTTAAACAGTATGTTTCAAAATTACATCCAGAAAACACTGCTCTCTTCCAAAGACCACGAAAACTCAAAAACACTCACTGGTACACCGCACAGGCACTTGGCCACAACAGTTTGTCCAAAATGATGAAATCAGTTTCAGAAGAGGCGAAGTTGAGCAAAACATACACTAATCACTTGTCAGGGCCACAACGTGAAATAATGAAATTGACAGGGCACAGAAACGAACAGTCCCTCGTGTCATATAATTGTCACTTCAGTCATAATTGACTCTTCTTCGGCTCAAAAAAGGTGGTATTCAGCCCTTCTCCAAGGTGGTAGCAACATCACACCAGCAGGGATAGTTAGTCAACATGTTAATATTGAACAGCATCACACTCACAGTACTGGGTTGTCTTCTGGTTTCCTGCCATACTTTAACAGCACTGTTACGGTTAACAATTTCTTTGGCAGCCATAACTGAGAGTGCAGTGTAGTGACAACCAGGATACGTTAGGACGGTTCTCAGTTCAGGGTGGGGAGGTATAATTCAAAGATTCACACATTCAAAATAAGTGAAAGAGTGATATCTAATAAAGTTTGTTGAGAAAAAATTGTGTGACTTTTTCTGTAACCCATGAACAGGTAATTTCATTATTGAAACAACCGACAATGACAGTAAAATATAACATAATAGAATGTGTTTGAAGATATTTTAATCATGACAACATGGTGTTAACAAACCTTTTTGTGATCGATATCCATTGACATCTCCGTCAACCACCACCGTTAGAATTTGGCCGGAGGGGATTTGAAAGTCCATCAGAAAACACTCCCCTTCGAAAGTCCACGAAAACAATGTCCCAACTGAAGTGACAGCTTATCAAAACTTGATGAAATTCATTTCAAAACACGCACAATTCAGAAAATCATACACAACGTACTATTTCTGGGCCACAAATGTCTAAGTTCTGTCACTATCTGGCTTTGGATCCGTGAAATCTTGAAATTGACAGGTCACACCATGCAGATTCCTCGTTTCAAAATATCCGCCTCGTCTGCAGCCTAAAAAGCGACTGTTCAGTCATATTCAGTTCCATTGGTAATGATATTGTGCCAGCAGGCTCGATCAATCCCTGTAAATCAAACAGGTTAATGTTGAACCACATCATAGATCGGGGTTGTCATCTTGCTTCATTTAACTAGATCTAGTTACGGAGAATGTAAATACAAGATTGTCAGCCATTGACATCTGTGAGGTGTGAGTAACCGTGATGTAGGTCAAGTTCTGCCACATCCAAGTTCGGGGTGGAGAAGCATTTATTTTGATTTTATTATTGTTTACTGGGGGTGATTGCTAACTAACTAATAACACTTACACATGTTAAATAAATAACAGAATGTTAATTCATAAAGTTTGTTGTAGAAATATATTCGTTGAGCATTTTAAAACCTTTTTCTACAACCTGTCACCCCTATAATAGAAATGATGGCATGTTCGATTTCCAAGAAATAACCTCTCTCGCTAAATTCCGAGAAAAGACAGGGTCAGCGGAAACAGTGTACCACAGGTTGGTAGAAATTAAAACATCTGCCTTTGGACTAAGTTTGGAGTGTTATTTGTCAACTTCTTTTGAAAAACTATGTGTTTTGAACACTTATTTTGAACTACTCACGATTATGGCATTTTTAATCTTGAACTTTAGTAATAATTGTTACATTTATAACTACGTGTGACCACTTTTCGGAATGATCTCAGATTGCGGACCTGTGTACCTGTGTTGTTACGCGTTGCAAGAGAGCACCGTTTTCAAAGTGCTGTTGCCGTCATGGTAGAATGGAGATAAACCTCTGTGTTTTGAAATTTGATGTAGTCCAATTGTAGAGTAGATACTTTAGTGCGTGGTTCAAAATTAAAATAAAGAGGTATCTACTCTACAGTGGGACTACATCAATTCAAAACACAGTAGATTTATCTCCTAATTGTACCCAAACAGTGTGGATTGTTGCTCAGAATGTCAATCACTGGTTTGTCTGGTCCAGACCTGATTATTTACAGGCAACAATCATATAGCTGTAATATGATCGATTGTGGCTTTAAACTTGACTGACGTACCACAGTAAGCATGTAAAAGTTGACTGAGATTCTTCAGGTGGTTAGGCTTGGTGACTGTCACTCAGTTGCTGCACAATACGTCCATATGACTAGACACACCTGACTGTTGTGTTACAGCTGGACACCAGTGGCTGCTGGGCCTGTCGCTGGACAAGGAGGTCGCGGACACAGACCAGTATCTATACACACGACTGCAGCAGAAGTGGGAGGAACTGGAACTCTCAGAAGAAAATACGTGAGTAGGGACTTGGAGAAACTTGGAAATGCAGAAGTTAAAGTGTTTCTTGTACTGCTTCAGCAACTGATTGTCTTCAGCAACCCATGCTTGCCGTAAGAGGTGACTATTCCTTTCGTAAGAGGGGACTAACAGGATCAGGTGGTCAGACTCGCTGCTTTGGTTGATGTCATCGCATCTCGATTGCATAGATTGATGCTCATGATATCAGACCGCTGTCATTTCGCTTGAATAATGCTGAGTGCAGCGTAAAACAACAAACAAACAAACAAACCTTATTGCCAGTTCAATCCCACAAGACAGAATCCACTTTCCACCAGAGTCACCTCTTCGACCCTCACTACAAAATGCAGAAGGGAAAATCCCCAAGGAATGGATTATTTTGTTTCAAATGTGAGATCATTTCAATGTCATGATACCAGATCCTCATCTTGTTGAAATGTTTGATGCACTAATGTGATAACGATGTTTTGTTTCTCTTTCAGAGCAAATGTTACAATAGAGTTAGACACAAACCAAGTTCGGGGGTTTTTATTCTCGGCTCAGGCACATCTGCACTGGCCATCCCTAGTGCGGAAATGCAAGATCAAGTTTCCCTTGACGCAGATAGGCAACATATCAGTAAGTAGCACCCATAGGCAATATGACAGTTACCCAGTTAGGTAACATGATAGATACACAGTTAGGCAGCATGACAGTTACCCAGTTAGGCAAAATGATAGATACACAGTTAGGCAGCATGATAGATACACAGGTAGGCAGCATGATAGATACACAGTTAGGCAACATGATAGATACACAGTTAGGAAGCATGATAGAAACAATTTTAGGCAGCATGAGATTTAAACAGTTAAGCAACATGATAGATACACAGTTTTAGGCAACATGATAAATACACAGTTAGGCAGCATGACAGTTACCCAGTTAGGTGACATGATAGATACACAGTTAGGCAACATGATAGATACACAGTTAGGCAGCATGATAGATACACAGTTAGGCAGCATGATAGATACACAGTTAGGCAGCATGATAGATACACAGTTAGGCAACATGATAGATACACAGTTAGGCAGCATGATAGATACAAGGTTAGGCAGCATGAGATTTAAACAGTTAAGCAACTTGATAGATACACAGTTAGGCAGCATGATAGCTACACAGTTAGGCAGCATGAGATTTAAACAGTTAAGCAACTTGATAGATACACAGTTAGGCAGCATGATAGATACACAGTTAGGCAGCATGAGATTTAAACAGTTAAGCAACATGATAGATACACAGTTAGGCAGCTTGATAGATACACAGTTAGGCAACATGATAGATACACAGTTAGGCAGCATGAAAGATACACAGTTAGGCAGCATGATAGAAACAATTTTAGGCAGCATGAGATTTAAACAGTTAAGCAACATGATAGATACACAGTTAGGCAACATGATACATACACAGTTAGGCAGCATGATAGATACAAGGTTAGGCAGCGTGAGATTTAAACAGTTAAGCAACATGGCAGTTACACTTAGGCAGTGTCCTAGGGCATCACATTGGAGTCGTTTTAAAGATCAAGTTTATCATCATTTGATCCGTGTCTGGAATCAGCAGACGTATTTTTGTTGAATTCTCATCATGTCATCAGAGACATTTATGATAAACTTTATCATTGAGTTTACAAAGGGTCATCTTCAATATGAAAAGAATAGACTGACCTGCCCTGAATGACATTATCCTTTACTTGTGAGCTGTTTAAAGACTGAAATTCACAATTTGCTTCAACTTACAGAGATGTTTTGTCTTCCAGGTATCAGATTTTATAGTGGAGAACACGGGAGACCTGCCAGTTTTAATGCAGATCCTGCCCCTTCCTCTGTACCCAAACCCCCACACCATCCTGGATCTACTCAACTACAAGTAAGTCTCACCATGTGGAGCCAGCAACATCTCAGTCACAGTAATTGGGTTATTACTTTTGTTGCTTACTGCTCCAACTTTCTTGGAAACTCTTTTTAAAAGTTACCTTATATTGATCTGAAGTGATCACTCGATGCAGTATCAGTAGGATAGACTGATGAAGGTAACAGTGTACCAGCAATGTGTCACACTGACATCGGTTGTGTGCCCAGTAAGTTACACTTAAGTGAACAATATTTTTTTTGTACGAAATGTCTGCAATATATGACCTTTTCTGCTGTGTAACTATAGTAACCATTTCTGTGACGTGTAACTATGGTAACCATGACTATTCCAGATTATCAGCTGACCTTACAGACTTTATAGAAACAGAAGACTTAGACACCTTCACTCTCCAGGACTTGGAGGAGTATAATGTAAGTCATCCTGTACAGATCTAACGCGTCACAATCCTTGCTTCACAATCTTTGCCTCACAATCTTTGCCTCACAATCCTTGCCTAACAATCCTTGCTACACAATCTTTACTTCACAATCCTTGCCTAACAATCCTTGCTACACAATCTTTACTTCACAATCCTTGCCTCACAGTCTTTGCCTCACCATCCTTGCCTCACCATCCTTGCCTCACCATCCTTGCCTCACAATCCTTGCCTCACGATCCTTACCTCACAGTTCTTGCCTCACCATCCTTGCCTCACAATCCTTGCCTCACAGTTCTTGCCTCACCATCCTTACCTCACAATCCTTGCCTCACAATCCTTACCTCACAATCCTTGCCTCACCATCCTTGCCTCACAGTTCTTGCCTAACAATCCTTGCCTCACCATCCTTACCTCACAATCCTTGCCTAACAATCCTTGCCTCACAATCCTTGCCTCACAGTCCTTGCTTCGCCATCCTTGCCTCACAGTCCTTGCCTCACAGTCTTTGCCTCACCATCCTTGCCTCACCATCCTTGCCTCACAGTTCTTGCCTCACAGTTCTTGCCTCACAATCCTTGCCTCACAATCCTTGCCTCACAATCCTTGCCTCACAATCCTTGCCTCACAGTCCTTGCCTCACAGTTCTTGCCTCACCATCCTTGCCTCACAATCCTTACCTCACAATCCTTGCCTCACAATCCTTGCCTCACAATCCTTGCCTCACAGTTCTTGCCTCACCATCCTTACCTCACAATCCTTGCCTCACCATCCTTGCCTCACAGTTCTTGCCTAACAATCCTTGCCTCACAATCCTTACCTCACAATCCTTGCTTCGCCATCCTTGCCTCACAATCCTTGCTTTGCCATCCTTGCCTCACAGTCCTTGCCTCACCATCCTTGCCTCACAGTCCTTGCCTCACCATCCTTGCCTCACAATCCTTGCTTTGCCATCCTTGCCTCACAGTTTTTGCCTCACAGTCTTTGCCTCACCATCCTTGCCTCACAATCCTTGCCTCACCATCCTTGCCTCACATTCCTTGCCTCACAATCTTTGCCTCACAGTCCTTGCCTCACAATCCTTGCTTCGCCATCCTTTCCTCACAGTCTTTGCCTCACCATCCTTGCCTCACCATCCTTGCCTCACCATCCTTGCCTCACATTCCTTGCCTCACAGTCTTTGCCTCACAATCCTTGCCTCACCATCCTTGCCTAACAATCCTTGCCTCACAATCCTTGCTTCGCCATCCTTGCCTCACAGTCTTTGCCTCACCATCCTTGCCTCACAGTCCTTGCCTCACCATCCTTGCCTAACAATCCTTGCCTCACAATCCTTGCTTTGCCATCCTTGCCTCACAGTCCTTGCCTCACCATCCTTGCCTCACAGTCCTTGCCTCACCATCCTTGCCTCACAATCCTTGCTTTGCCATCCTTGCCTCACAGTTTTTGCCTCACAGTCTTTGCCTCACCATCCTTGCCTCACAATCCTTGCCTCACCATCCTTGCCTCACATTCCTTGCCTCACAATCTTTGCCTCACAGTCCTTGCCTCACAATCCTTGCTTCGCCATCCTTTCCTCACAGTCTTTGCCTCACCATCCTTGCCTCACCATCCTTGCCTCACCATCCTTGCCTCACATTCCTTGCCTCACAGTCTTTGCCTCACAATCCTTGCCTCACCATCCTTGCCTAACAATCCTTGCCTCACAATCCTTGCTTCGCCATCCTTGCCTCACAGTCTTTGCCTCACCATCCTTGCCTCACCATCCTTGCCTCACAATCTTTGCCTCACAATCCTTGCCTCACCATCCTTGCCTCACCATCCTTGCCTCACATTCCTTGCCTCACAGTCTTTGCCTCACAATCCTTGCCTCACAATCCTTGCCTCACAATCCTTGCCTCACAATCCTTGCCTCACCATCCTTGCCTCACATTCCTTGCCTCACAGTCCTTGCCTCACAGTCTTTGCCTCACCATCCTTGCCTCACCATCCTTGCCTCACCATCCTTGCCTCACATTCCTTGCCTCACCACCCTTGCCTCACATTCCTTGCCTCACAATCTTTGCCTCACAGTCCTTGCCTCACAATCCTTGCCTCACAGTCCTTGCCTCACAATCCTTGCCTCACATTCCTTGCCTCACAATCCTTGCCTCACAATCCTTGCCTCACAATCCTTGCCTCACAATCCTTGCCTCAATATCCTTACCTCACAATCCTTGCCTCACAATCCTTGCCTCACAGTCCTTACCTCACAATCCTTACCTCACAATCCTTGCCTCACAATCCTTACCTCACAGTCTTTGCCTCACAGTCCTTGCCTCACAATCCTTGCCTAACAATCCTTGCCTCACAGTCTTTGCCTCACAGTCCTTGCCTCACAATCCTTGCCTCACAATCCTTGCCTCACAGTCTTTGCGTCACATTCCTTGCCTCACAGTCCTTGCCTCACAATCCTTACCTCACAGTCCTTGCCTCACAGTCCTTGCCTCACAATCCTTGCCTCACAGTCCTTGCCTCACAATACCCCTGGGTGGGTTGTTGGGCCCAGGTAACCTGAGTTTGTCATAAATGTATCAGGTTGTCAGACTGGTTACTGTGGCTGATAGTGTGTCATCATGTCATATAGTGTGGATATGACTTTTGCTATTTATGATTCCTTCAAATTTTACTTTTATTTTATATAAATTTTATTAATTTGGACTTCGTCTCTGAAATGAATGAAAGCAGTGGGTTTCATTTCCAGAGCAGGACTGGAAAATTATTTATGAAACTTGGTAAACACATTCACCGTATGGTGTAGATGTGCTTTTTACTATTTATGATTCCCCAAATTAATTTGTTTTGATATAAATTTTATAAATCTAGACTTGAATTGAAGCAATCTTAACAATTTTAGTTCAGTTCTGTTATGTACTTCTCCTTGAAACTTTGTACAATATCAGTCTATTCTATGGCTGTTGTAGAGTCTTTGGTCTAAAGATGTTAAAATTATGTCTAGTTTTCTTATTTAAATTAAATGACACACAAGTAGACACTGCAACAAACAAGGCTGTAAAAGGATTCATGTGTTAGAAATTCACCAGGTTTTAGGGGTCAGCATGCTCAAAACTTTAGTACCTTATCTGTACCGTGTATCTTACTCTGGTAACTACCTTTAAAGGGTAGGGCTGCAAAAATACCTGCCTGTATAACAAGGCTCTACAATACAATGTATGATATCTAAATGAGTGAATTGTGCAGTGATCAAGGATGATGACATGCTGGAAGATGATTATGACCTTTGTATATTATTACAGTCTTACTAAAGCAGATAGTTGTACAAAGTGTTATGGAGGTGTTATACAATAGCTCCTGTATTCAACCCCTTCCACAAGCAGGCAGACAAACTGATAATTTACACATTTGATTGCGCATATCATGGTCTTTAAGACTGGACAGTGGGCGGGCAATATAAACGACTTCGTCTTCTTGTTGTATTGATGAGACATGAACAATGAGACGTTTGTCTTTATGGAGATACCTACATGTCTATGTTGTCCGCCAGAATACCCTTCATAATGTACTAGTAGGCTGGACACGTCACTGCTCAATGCTCACTTACTCTTACTGCAAGTGTGAGGCTTTGTCCCTTTCCAGGATAATGCTCAGAATCCAATCCCTGGACTACGCAAGTCGGTGGAGAACTTGTTGGGAGTGAAGGCACACAAACACTCCATAGCCTCTGTACTCCAACCGGGGGCCAAGTTGAAGGTCAGAGTGGGTTTCCAGCCCAAGGATGACTACTCCAGAACATCCATCATACTAATAAGGTAAGTACTGTTAATGTCAGTACTACGTTGCAGTACTACTCATCCTCCATTAGTAAACTGGTGACCTTGGACAGATCTTTACAGGCGGCTTTACTGTAAGGCTTGGTGTCAGACACATAACATGAAGGCTTTACTGTAAGGCTTGGTGTCAGACACATAACATGAAGCCACAGCTAAAGTGAAATCCTTTTGTAACTGATTCAAAGACCGTGTTGTAAAATATTCACAACACTACTACAGCTGTTATTGTTCTCCATTCAGAACTGCCTTTTCACATTCAGATTTTTAGCAGAAAACAAATATGCTTCTCTGAACACATGTTGAATGGTATAGAGCATCCACATGATCACCTGATTAGAATACGTTGTGTTGAGTTGTGTCTCCTATACATGTAGGTTGAGTTGAGTTGTGTCTCCTATACATGTATGTTGTGTTGAGTTGTGTCTCCTATACATGTAGGTTGTGTTGAGTTGTGTCTCCTATCCATGTATGTTGTGTTGAGTTGTGTCTCCTATACATGTAGGTTGTGTTGAGTTGTGTCTCCTATCCATGTATGTTGTGTTGAGTTGTGTCTCCTATACATGTACTTTGTGTTGAGTTGTGTCTCCAACCATTCATATTGTGTTGAGTTGTGTCTCCTATCCATGTATGTTGTGTTGAGTTGTGTCTCCTATCCATGTATGTTGTGTTGAGTTGTGTCTCCTATCCATGTATGTTGTGTTGAGTTGTGTCTCCTATACATGTACTTTGTGTTGAGTTGTGTCTCCATACATTCATATTGTGTTGAGTTGTGTCTCCTATCCATGTATGTTGTGTTGAGTTGTGTCTCCTATCCATGTATGTTGTGTTGAGTTGTGTCTCCTATCCATGTAGGTTGTGTTGAGTTGTGTCTCCTATCCATGTAGGTTGTGTTGAGTTGTGTCTCCTATCCATGTAGGTTGTGTTGAGTTGTGTCTCCATACATTCATATTGTGTTGAGTTGTGTCTCCTATCCATGTAGGTTGTGTTGAGTTGTGTCTCCTATCCATGTATGTTGTGTTGAGTTGTGTCTCCTATCCATGTATGTTGTGTTGAGTTGTGTCTCCTATCCATGTATGTTGTGTTGAGTTGTGTCTCCATACATTCATATTGTGTTGAGTTGTGTCTCCTATCCATGTATGTTGTGTTGAGTTGTGTCTCCTATCCATGTAGGTTGTGTTGAGTTGTGTCTCCTATCCATGTAGGTTGTGTTGAGTTGTGTCTCCTATCCATGTATGTTGTGTTGAGTTGTGTCTCCTATCCATGTATGTTGTGTTGAGTTGTGTCTCCTATCCATGTATGTTGTGTTGAGTTGTGTCTCCTATCCATGTAGGTTGTGTTGAGTTGTGTCTCCTATCCATGTAGGTTGTGTTGAGTTGTGTCTCCTATCCATGTAGGTTGTGTTGAGTTGTGTCTCCTATCCATGTATGTTGTGTTGAGTTGTGTCTCCTATCCATGTATGTTGTGTTGAGTTGTGTCTCCTATCCATGTATGTTGTGTTGAGTTGTGTCTCCTATCCATGTAGGTTGTGTTGAGTTGTATCTCCATACATTCATATTGTGTTGAGTTGTGTCTCCTATCCATGTATGTTGTGTTGAGTTGTGTCTCCTATCCATGTAGGTTGTGTTGAGTTGTGTCTCCTATCCATGTATGTTGTGTTGAGTTGTGTCTCCTATCCATGTAGGTTGTGTTGAGTTGTGTCTCCATACATTCATATTGTGTTGAGTTGTGTCTCCTATCCATGTATGTTGTGTTGAGTTGTGTCTCCTATCCATGTAGGTTGTGTTGAGTTGTGTCTCCTATCCATGTAGGTTGTGTTGAGTTGTGTCTCCTATCCATGTATGTTGTGTTGAGTTGTGTCTCCTATACATGTAGGTTGTGTTGAGTTGTGTCTCCTATCCATGTATGTTGTGTTGAGTTGTGTCTCCTATCCATGTAGGTTGTGTTGAGTTGTGTCTCCTATCCATGTAGGTTGTGTTGAGTTGTGTCTCCTATCCATGTAGGTTGTGTTGAGTTGTGTCTCCTATCCATGTATGTTGTGTTGAGTTGTGTCTCCTATCCATGTAGGTTGTGTTGAGTTGTGTCTCCTATCCATGTAGGTTGTGTTGAGTTGTGTCTCCTATCCATGTAGGTTGTGTTGAGTTGTGTCTCCTATCCATGTAGGTTGTGTTGAGTTGTGCTGTATCCATGTAGGTTGTGTTGAGTTGTGTCCTACATTGTGTTACAGAAACAACCTGACCATCATTGACACAGTGGTGGTGCAGGGCCAGGGGTGTCGGGGGGAGATGAGATTCAGCAACAGGAAGCCGGGCTCGCACTCGCCCCTCATGTTCGACATGAATGAAAAACATTTGAAAAACTGTGATAGTAAGTGTGATACAAGCATAAACAGTGTCAGAACATAGTAGTTGGACTCAAGTCCTCAGTAAGTGTGATACAAGCATGAACAGTGTCAGAACATAGTAGTTGGACTCAAGTCCTCAGCATGCAGAATATTTCAAACTTTTTGTTCTTCAGAAAACAATGGTGAACTGTTTTTTTAATAAAAAGTTCTGTAGTTGATTGTAGAGTTCCAAGATTAAGTTGTTTTTCTGTGGCATATGAATTAATTTTCTTCTTTACCATCTGACCATGGTTCTTGCAGTTTCAGAGAAAAAGCCCAGCAAGAGCATGGTGCCACATTTTACAGTACGGCGGACATTCACGTTGCGGAACACGGGAGAACTGCCATTCTACGTCCAGGGATTCAGCATCAATGGTTCACCCTGTGAAGGCTATGGCTTCAAAATTCTAGACTGTGAAGGATTTGAAATGCCTCCAAATACTAGCAGAAAAATAGATATTGCGTAAGTACAACGTAATGCTGAAGATCCTGTGTAGCACGCAGGACAAATGTCATCCTCCATGTCGGTCCACAAGATTGTTGTTTGACCTGGGAGCACAGGGGGCACATTTGTGTTTGGAGCGGCTGATCATGAGTGATAGATTCCAAATGTCAATCTTTCTCTCCTTTGTGAGGGGGGGGGCGTATGTGCAGAGAGGCATCCCTCCGGTATGCTATGTTTCAGCGTCCCAATGATTGTGACCCTTGGTTTGTCAACACCATACCCATGCTCATGGGCTTTTCCAAATAGTAAACATCTAAGACCTGCATCACTTGTGGCTGCTACCACACATGTATGACATGTAATTGTAATTCACTCACTCACTCACTGTCAACATAAAGAGTGGGAAAAAATTGTATGGTATGAAAAATGCACATGGTTTTTATGGTGTAGTTCCCTATCCTTTGTCATGAGACATGTGTTTAATCTTAGTGTTAGCACTGTATACATAACAGGCATTGTTCTCACTGCTGTAGTTTGTTATTTGCAGCTTCACCCCGGATTTTACCATGTCACGAATCCGGAGGTCCCTGACAGTTCACACAAGTTTAGGTCCCCCTGCTAACTATACGCTACAGGCAACAGTACCCCCCCACCTCCTGTCCAAGTGTTCTGCAGCGCTGCCCCGCCCCAACTGGGAGCCAGTGCTGTACTACTCCATCGTGTGCGTCATGAACTTCCTTCTTGTCTGCATCCTTGTGGCAGCATACTTTGAAGCAGATCGGATCATTGTGGCAGACATTCTCAAACGTAAGCTCCGGGTCAACACGGCGCAGTCATTCGACAAAGGGAAGGTTTTTGATTTACGTAACGTAGCTGGCTTGTCGATCTCTCCCAAGCCACCCCCACCTCACTTAACGGCGGACATGAGAGGACGGCAGATGATCGAGATCAACGGCCACTTGGAGTACAAGCAGGCACGGCGAGAACCTTTCATCGGCAGCATTCTCAGTGTTCTCAGAAATCTCATTCCACGAAAAATATCACTCTTTTCACGGCGATCTCATGTTGAGAGACAGAGTTCACGTGAGCGAGAGGCAAAGTCTGTGTCAGTAATTACCAGTGCGAAGCCACAGACCATTGATAAAGACAAACCACCAACCCCCACTCCAACCCCGACCCCAACCCCAACCCCACCACAGGAAGCTGTGGCCCCAGAGAAATCCATACCACCACACAGAATGAAAAAATCCAGATCTACATCCAGACGGAATCAGGATTCGAACTCGGCCGATGGGCACCTGCCGACTAGATCCGGAGACCGTAATAAAGATATGACCATTCCAGAACAGAAACGTACCGATATCGACCTTAGTGACCCCCCGAGTGCGGAGATCCGCCAAGGGTCATACCGATGGGACCGGTCGTCCAGCACTGACCAAGGAGAACGTGCTGTTGATGACATCACAGAAATAAAAGAGGATGTGAGCCAGCTAAAGCTCGGTAAGATGAAGAATAAGAAGAAGAACAGGACTCGCCTGGAGCGGGACCTTCTCAAGGACAAAGTCCTGCTGCCCCAGCGGGAGAACTCCCTGACAGACGACCGGGATGAGATCTCCTCCACCACCACCGACTCCTCCGCTGGAGATGTTGAGGAGAAGGTAGGAGCACAACCCTGTTGCCCTTGTGGTAGAAATGTTTTCTGGCCCAAAGAGTGATAACATATAAGGACAAACCCCGGCCATCTGTGCCTCAGAATACTGTTCACAGTGTACACCACAGATAGAGGTCGACTTGACACATTCACCATTAGTGATAACACATGAACACCCCCTGTAGCCTGTTGGTACAGAAACCTGGCCATCAGATGGTCAGCTTGATTGTCTGGAGTGAGTGAGTGAGTACGGTTTTGTGCCGCTTTATGTAATATTCCAGCAATATCATGGCGGGGGACACTAGAAATGGGCTTCACACATATTACCCATGTGGGGAATTGAACCTGGATCTTCTGCTTGACAAGCAAATGGTTTAACCACTTGGAAAAATTATTTATACCAGTAATTTTTTTTCTGTTCAATGCTTTGACCAAAGTTACTATAATTATGTGTGTATCATGTACAAAGAATTTCAATACCAGATACTACTTCAGTTTGATAGCAATGATCAAGAACGTCCCAACACAGGATATCCACATGAGAGTTTGGAGTGTCGGCTGTTTTCATTATCATGTTCATGGTATTTCTTCCTTAATTTCCAGAATTCCAGTGCTCGAGACTCCACGCCCGAGCCCCTTGTACCACTAGTGAAGAGATCCAAGACTAAACTCCGACCCATGGATCGGGCAGTTCCTGCTATCCTTGACGATGACTATAATGAGGAGGAGGAGTTTGAGTTGACCTCCAAATCAAGAGGTCATCGAAAGATTCGTGTCAACCCAAAAGAGACTTTTGGGGGAAACATCCTGAGACCAAGGTCAGTGGTCTAGCTTAGAGGTGTAGCCTAGAGGTGTAGCCTTGTGGTCTAGCCTTGTGATCTAGCCTTGTGATCTAGCCTAGCGGTGTAGCCTTGTGGTCTATTCTTGTGATCTAGTGTAAGCCTTGTAGTCTACCCTTGTGGCCGGGCCTTGTGGTCTAGCCTTGTGGTCTACCCTTGTGGCCTAGCCTTGTGGTCTAGCCTTGTGATCTAGCCTAGCGGTGTAGCCTTGTGGTCTACCCTTGTGGTCTATTCTTGTGATCTAGTGTAAGCCTTGCTGGCTACCCTTGTGGCCGGGCCTTGTGGTGTAGCCTAGTGGTCTAGCCTTGTGGTCATTTGTAGCCTTGTAATCTAGCCTTGTGGTCTAGTGTTGCCTTGTGGTCTAGTGTAGCCTTGTGGTCTAGCCTAGTGGTCTAGTGTAGCCTTGTGGTCTAGTGTAGCCATGTGCTCCAATGTAGCCTTGTGGTCTAGCCTTGTGGTCTAGCCTAGTGGTCTAGTGTAGCCATGTGCTCCAATGTAGCCTTGTGGTCTAGCCTAGTGGTCCAGTGTAGTCTTGTGGTCCAGTGTAGCCTTGTGGTCTAGCCAAGTGGTCTAGCAAGTGGGTAAATCATGGGCTTGTGATGCAGAAGATCCTGGTACTAGTTTGCATGGTTGTGATTAGTGAAGCCTATACCTGATGTCCCTTCACTTTACTCGTCCACTATGTCTCAAATACTGCTGCTATTATAAAAAAATAACCTTTCAGGAGTTTATTATCTTCTTCCTGTTATCAATTTGCTGAAAGATTGTTTGACTTTACCATTACAGTTCTGCAATTTTATATTTGTACAATAAAGAGACTCCATTAAACAGAATAGATCAACATCTCATCATGTAGGGGATGTGTAGATTTGGGAGGGACCCCTGTCTAAGCAATCTCCCTCTGTCTCCCACAGCACCCTGGAGCTGCCCTACAGTCTGGAGACCCGCAAGACGAAGGACTCGACTGCATCAGCTGACTCGGTCGGCAAGAACAAGCGGCCATCCAAGACAACACGAAGCAGCTCGAAGGGTAGGAACTGCCATCTCACTAACACTGTCAATGTTGTCCGCTTCTTGTCTCACCTCAGTACTGGGAACAAACCGTGTGTTCAGTGACTGTAAGACTTCAGTGAACACATTGTCACCCTGACATCATGTTTCACTGGGCTTATATATATGGGGAGTAAAATGACTGGGCTGATTTTGGGAAATAAAGTGACTGGGCTTATGTATGGGAAATTAGTTACACATATTATCTGTCAACAGTACACAGTACAATATTGTCTACTGTTTATCTGATATGGTTAGGTTAGGAGATGCACACACTATTGTCTGCTGTCTAGGAGATACACACACTTTTGTCTACTGTCTAGGTGATACACACACTACTGTCTAGGTGATACACACACTGTTGTCTACTGTCTAGGAGATACACACACACACATATATCTACTGTCTAGGTGATACACACACTATTGTCTACTGTCAAGGAGATGCACAAACTATTGTCTACTGTTAAGGATATACACACTACTGTCTAGGTGATACACACACTATTGTCTACTGATTAGGTGATACACATGTGATAGTCTACTTTCTAGGTGATACATACACTATTGTCTACTGTCTAGGAGATACACTATTATCTACTGTCTAGAACTTACACATATGATTGCCTACTTTCTTGATGATTCATACACTACTGTCTACTGTCTAGGAGATACACACACTATTGTCTACTGTCTAGGAGATACACACACTAATGTCTACTGTCTAGGAGTTGCACACACTACTGTCTACTGTCTAGGTGATACACACACTATTGTCTACTGTCTAGGAGATACACACACTATTGTCTACTGTCTAGGAGATACACACACTACTGTCTACTGTCTAAGTGATACACACACTACTATCTAGGAGTTGCACACACTACTGTCTACTGTCTAGGTGATACACACACTATTGTCTACTATCTAGGTGATACACACACTATTGTCTACTATCTAGGTGATACACACACTATTGTCTACTGTCTAGGTGATACACACACTACTGTCTAGGTGATACACTCACTACTGTCTACTGTCTAGGAGATACATACACTACTGTCTAGGAGATGCACACACTACTGTCTACTGTCTAGGAGATGCACACACTACTGTCTACTGTCTAGGGGATACACACACTATTGTCTACTGTCTAGGAGATACACACTATTGTCTACTGTATAGGAGTTGCACACATTGATGTCTAGGTGATACACACAATACTGTCTACTGTCTTGGAGATACACACACTACTGTCTAGGAGTTGCATACACTACTGTCTACTGTCTAGGTGATACACACACTATTGTCTACTATCTAGGAGTTGCACACATCACTGTCTAGGTGATACACACATTATTGTCTACTGTCTAGGAGTTACACACACTACTATCTACTGTCTAGGTGATACACACTACTGTCTACTGTCTAGGAGTTGCACACACTACTGTCTACTGTCTAGGAGATACACACACTACTGTCTAGGAGATACACACACTGTTGTCTAATGTCTAGGAGTTGCACACACTACTGTCTAGGTGATACACACACTACTGTCTACTGTCTAGGAGTTGCATACACTACTGTCTACTGTCTAGGTGGTACACACACTACTGTCTACTGTCTAGGAGTTGCATACACTACTGTCTACTGTCTAGGTGATACACACACTATTGTCTACTATCTAGGAGTTCCACACATCACTGTCTAGGTGATACACACACTATTGTCTACTGTCTAGGAGTTACACACACTACTGTCTAGGAGATACAAACACTACTGTCTACTGTCTAGGAGTTGCATACACTACTGTCTACTGTCTAGGTGATACACACACTATTGTCTACTATCTAGGAGTTGCACACATCACTGTCTAGGTGATACACACACTATTGTCTACTGTGTAGGAGTTACGCACACTACTATCTACTGTCAAGGTGATACACACTACTGTCTGCTGTCTAGGAGTTACACACACTACTATCTACTGTCTAGGTGATACACACTACTGTCTACTGTCTAGGAGATACACACACTACTGTCTAGGAGATACACACACTGTTGTCTACTGTCTAGGAGTTGCACACACTACTGTCTAGGTGATACACAGTCTACTGTCTAGGAGTTGCACACACTACTGTCTTCTGTCTAGGAGATACACACACTGTTGTCTACTGTCTAGGAGATACACACTATTGTCTACTATCTAGGAGTTGCACACATCACTGTCTAGGTGATACACACACTATTGTCTACTGTGTAGGAGTTACACACACTACTATCTACTGTCTAGGTGATACACACTACTGTCTACTGTCTAGGAGTTGCACACACTACTGTCTAGGAGATACACACACTGTTGTCTACTGTCCAGGAGTTGCACACACTACTGTCTAGGTGATACACACACTACTGTCTACTGTCTAGGAGTTGCACACACTACTGTCTTCTGTCTAGGAGATACACACACTGTTGTCTACTGTCTAGGAGATACACACACTACTGTCTAGGAGATACACACACTGTTGTCTAATGTCTAGGAGTTGCACACACTACTGTCTAGGTGATACACACACTACTGTCTACTGTCTAGGAGTTGCATACACTACTGTCTACTGTCTAGGTGATACACACACTATTGTCTACTATCTAGGAGTTGCACACATCACTGTCTAGGTGATACACACACTATTGTCTACTGTCTAGGAGTTACACACACTACTGTCTAGGAGATACAAACACTGCTGTCTACTGTCTAGGAGTTGCATACACTACTGTCTACTGTCTAGGTGATACACACACTATTGTCTACTATCTAGGAGTTGCACACATCACTGTCTAGGTGATACACACACTATTGTCTACTGTCTAGGAGTTACGCACACTACTATCTACTGTCTAGGTGATACACACTACTGTCTGCTGTCTAGGAGTTACACACACTACTATCTACTGTCTAGGTGATACACACTACTGTCTACTGTCTAGGAGATACACACACTACCGTCTAGGAGATACACACACTGTTGTCTACTGTCTAGGAGTTGCACACACTACTGTCTAGGTGATACACAGTCTACTGTATAGGAGTTGCACACACTACTGTCTTCTGTCTAGGAGATACACACACTGTTGTCTACTGTCTAGGAGATACACACACAATTGTCTACTATCTATGAGTTGCACACATCACTGTCTAGGTGATACACACACTATTGTCTACTGTGTAGGAGTCACACACACTACTATCTACTGTCTAGGTGATACACACTACTGTCTACTGTCTAGGAGTTGCACACACTACTGTCTAGGAGATACACACACTGTTGTCTACTGTCCAGGAGTTGCACACACTACTGTCTAGGTGATACACACACTACTGTCTACTGTCTAGGAGTTGCACACACTACTGTCTTCTGTCTAGGAGATACACACACTGTTGTCTACTGTCTAGGAGATACACACACTACTGTCTAGGTGATACACACACTACTGTCTACTGTCTAGGAGTTGCATACACTATTGCCTACTGTCTAGGAGATACACACACTATTGTCTACTATCTAGGAGTTGCACACACTACTGTCTACTGTCTAGGTGATACACACACTACTGTCTAGGAGATACACACACTATTGTCTACTGTCTAGGAGATACACACACTATTGTCTACTATCTAGGAGTTGCACACACTACTGTCTTCTGTCTAGGAGATACACACACTACTGTCTACTATCTAGGAGTTGCACACACTACTGTCTACTGTCTAGGTGATACACACACTACTGTCTAGGAGATACACACACTATTGTCTACTGTCTAGGAGATACACACACTATTGTCTACTATCTAGGAGTTGCACACACTACTGTCTTCTGTCTAGGAGATACACACACTACTGTCTACTGTCTAGGAGTTGCACACACTACTGTCTACTGTCTAGGAGATACACACACTATTGTGTACTGTCTAGGTGTTCCACTCTGTCCAGTCAGTCCACCAGTGCATGTCTAGATTCAGGTCATGAGTTTCTCTGTACTGAGATATGGCAGGATGATGATAGTGAGGAGATGTACCTGCTTAGGTCAACAGTATTCTGGATCTGCTCAGGACTGGCACAATGTCTTCCAAACATTTGTTTTTCCTTTCAAAATGAATTATTGCATTTATTCTCTTCATTAAAGCAGACATAATCCCATTAAAAAGGCCAGTTTTCAAAATTAAGCATGAAAATTCAAGGGTTGCTTGTCTGAACACTGTCAACCCCTTCTATTTGGTTTGCTTTGCCACCCCTTTTGTGAAATGGCTCTAACATTGTTCATGTGGCCCTTTGAACCCTGACCAGTTCATAGAATAGCCTTGACCTTGTTTCTGTAGTGGCTAACTGATGAATCGTGTTGACAGCGTGTGTTGTTACTGTCACTTGCTCCGTGTTGTGCATGCTTTATACCGATCTAGTTTTGTGTACTGCTCTGCATGTTGATTGGTTGCTATGTTGTTACCTAGGTGACACTTTGTTGCACACAACGGCCAGCGACAGCAGTGACCCTGACAAAGATTTCCATGCGCCTCCATCGTGGGACTTCCCCAGTGCCACACTCACGCCTGGTTAGATAACTACACTTCGTAGACATGTTACAACTACATTCAGAATTATGCTCCAGAGAACAATTTTTGAAATCCCTTCCTGTGGCCGGTTTATAGCACATGTTGAATGAAAACGTTTAAGATATGGAGCTAAATCAGTCTTTCAATTTTAAATGTACTTTAAAAGTAATGTATTATTTTAAAATCTTAAAAATGTTATTTTGAATTTCTTCCACTCAAAAGAGACCTTCTAAAGCCCACCGTTTTACAATCCCTCTTCCCCAAACCCACACAACAGCCTGATACCCACAGAACCCCAATACCCACCACACAACACCACTACAACACTCACACCATGCCTGCACCACATCCCCACACCCACACAACACCCCATTACCCACCACCCCCACAAAACACCCAGTTACCTACCACACCCACGCCCACACCCATAACACACCCCGTTACCCACCATGCCAACACCCACACAACACCACTACAACACTCACACCATACCTGCACCACCATTCCCACACCCACACAACACTCCATTACCCACCATGCCCACGCCCACACAACACCCTGATACTTACCACACCCACGCCCACACCCATGCCCACACCCATACCGCACCCCCTTACCCACCATGCCCACACCACTACGCCTACTCCCACGTAACACTCATATAATATCTGTACCTCCATACCCACCACCCACGCTCATGTCCACAAAACACCACAACACTCACACCATACAAGCATCACATCCCCACCACACCAACACAACACCCTGATACCCCCCACACCAACACAACACCCCGATACCCCCCACACCAACACAACACCCCGATACCCCCCACATCCACACAACACCCTGATACCCCCCACATCCACACAACACCCCAATACCCCCCACACCAACACAACACCCCGATACCCCCCACATCCACACAACACCCCGATACCCCCCACATCCACACAACACCCCGATACCCCCCACACCCACACAACACCCCAATACCCCCCACACCAACACAACACCCTGATACCCCCCACATCCACACAACACCCCGATACCCCCCACATCCACACAACACCCGGATACCCCCCACATCCACACAACACCCTGATACCCCCCACATCCACACAACACCCAGATACCCCCCACACCAACACAACACCCTGATACCCCCCACACCCACACAACACCCCGATACCCCCCACATCCACACAACACCCCGATACCCCCCACATCCACACAACACCCCGATACCCCCCACATCCACACAACACCCCGATACCCCCCACATCCACACAACACCCTGATACCCCCCACACCCACACAACACCCCGATACCCCCCACACCCACACAACACCCCGATACCCCCCACATCCACACAACACCCTGATACCCCCCACATCCACACAACACCCCGATACCCCCCACATCCACACAACACCCCGATACCCCCCACATCCACATAACACCCCGATACCCCCCACATCCACACAACACCCCAATACCCCCCACATCCACACAACACCCTGATACCCCCCACATCCACACAACACCCTGATACCCCCCACATCCACACAACACCCGGATACCCCCCACATCCACACAACACCCTGATACCCCCCACATCCACACAACACCCCGATAACCCCCACACCAACACAACACCCCGATACCCACCACATCCACACAACACCCCGATACCCCCCACACCAACACAACACCCTGATACCCCCCACATCCACACAACACCCCGATACCCCCCACATCCACACAACACCCTGATACCCCCCACATCCACACAACACCCCAATACCCCCCACACCAACACATCACCCCGATACCCCCCACATCCACACAACACCCCAATACCCCCCACACCAACACAACACCCTGATACCCCCCACACCAACACAACACCCCGATACCCCCCACACCAACACAACACCCCGATACCCCCCACACCAACACAACACCCCGATACCCCCCACACCAACACAACACCCCGATACCCCCCACACCAACACAACACCCCGATACCCCCCACACCAACACAACACCCCGATACCCCCCACATCCACACAACACCCTGATACCCCCCACATCCACACAACACCCTGATACCCCCCACACCAACACAACACCCTGATACCCCCCACACCAACACAACACCCTGATACCCCCCACACCAACACAACACCCTGATACCCCCCACATCCACACAACACCCTGATACCCCCCACACCAACACAACACCCTGATACCCCCCACACCAACACAACACCCCGATACCCCCCACACCAACACAACACCCTGATACCCCCCACATCCACACAACACCCTGATACCCCCCACACCAACACAACACCCTGATACCCCCCACATCCACACAACACCCCAATACCCCCCACACCAACACAACACCCTGATACCCCCCACACCCACACAACACCCTGATACCCCCCACACCAACACAACACCCTGATACCCCCCACACCAACACAACACCCTGATACCCCCCACACCAACACAACACCCTGATACCCCCCACACCAACACAACACCCCAATACCCCCCACACCAACACAACACCCTGATACCCCCCACATCCACACAACACCCTGATACCCCCCACACCAACACAACACCCTGATACCCCCCACACCAACACAACACCCCGATACCCCCCACACCAACACAACACCCTGATACCCCCCACACCAACACAACACCCTGATACCCCCCACATCCACACAACACCCTGATACCCCCCACACCAACACAACACCCCGATACCCCCCACACCAACACAACACCCTGATACCCCCCACATCCACACAACACCCCGATACCCCCCACATCCACACAACACCCTGATACCCCCCACACCAACACAACACCCCGATACCCCCCACACCAACACAACACCCTGATACCCCCCACATCCACACAACACCCCGATACCCACCACATCCACACAACACCCCGATACCCCCCACACCAACACAACACCCTGATACCCCCAACATCCACACATCACCCTGATACCCCCCACACCAACACAACACCCTGATACCCCCCACATCCACACAACACCCCAATACCCCCCACATCCACACAACACCCTGATACCCCCCACATCCACACAACACCCTGATACCCCCCACACCAACACAACACCCCGATACCCCCCACATCCACACATCACCCTGATACCCCCCACATCCACACAACACCCCAATACCCCCCACATCCACACAACACCCCGATACCCCCCACATCCACACAACACCCTGATACCCCCCACATCCACACAACACCCTGATACCCCCCACATCCACACAACACCCAGATACCCCCCACATCCACACAACACCCTGATACCCCCCACATCCACACAACACCCAGATACCCCCCACATCCACACAACACCCTGATACCCCCCACATCCACACATCACCCTGATACCCCCCACATCCACACAACACCCCAATACCCCCCACATCCACACAACACCCCGATACCCCCCACATCCACACAACACCCTGATACCCCCCACATCCACACAACACCCTGATACCCCCCACATCCACACAACACCCAGATACCCCCCACACCAACACAACACCCTGATACCCCCCACATCCACACATCACCCTGATACCCCCCACATCCACATAACACCCCAATACCCCCCACATCCACACAACACCCAGATACCCCCCACATCCACACATCACCCTGATACCCCCCACATCCACATAACACCTCGATACCCCCCACACCCACACAACACCTCGATACCCCCCACACCCACCAAACACCCCGATACCCCCCACATCCACACAACACCCCGATACCCCCCACATCCACACAACACCCCAATACCCCCCACACCCACACAACACCCCGATACCCCCCACACCAACACAACACCCCGATACCCCCCACACCAATACAACACCCCGATACCCCCCACACCAACACAACACCCCGATACCCCCCACACCAACACAACACCCCGATACCCCCCACACCAACACAACACCCCGATACCCCCCACACCAACACAACGCCCCGATACCCCCCACACCAACACAACACCCCGATACCCCCCACACCAACACAACCCCTCTAAAATACTCACATGCCTGCACCACATACCTACCACACTTAAGTCAGCACCACATGATCACTCCTTCAACACCCTTACAACACGACCATCTCCGTGTACACACACACACACACACACACACACACACACACACACACACACACACACACACACACTCTCGCACACACACACACACGCTAGCACGCACGCACGCACACTCACGCACGCACACACACACACTCACGCACACACACTCACGCACACACACTCGCGCACACACACTCGCACACACACACACACACACACACGCACACACACTCGCGCACACACACTCGCACACACATGCACACACACACACACACACACACACACACACACACACACACACACACACACACACACACACACACACACACACACACACTCACTCACGCACAGAGAGAGGACCCTCCCAAAATACTCTCACCACACCTCCACCCACAAAACACTTCCTCCCCACCAACTGTTGATTGTCAAGCTGTGATGTCAGGGAGTGACAGATTCTATGAACATTGACATATTTAATCATTAGCTGTACTAACACATTGAGTTGAATAACTTTATCCTCACCCCTTTCTGTTTTGGCTGACAGCCTCTACCAGTCCTGTTGTGTCATTGTTCCATGGCGCCCCAAGCACAGTACTCTGTCCCTCTCTGTGTCACTCACACATTTGTATATGTTGTAATTCTGCAGATTCTTTTCCGAATCACCTGTATCTTATTATTGGCATTAAGTTTAAACCCTTTATTACTGTTTTCCCTTAACCACCACCATTATGAACGTTTTCATTTATGATTACACAGTGGTACCAGTAACCATGGTAACACATTTCTTGATAATCTGTAAGGTGACCTCACAGAGCTGTCCATACAGACCGAGAACTTTGCCCAGAAGCACATCAAGAGTCTGGGTAGTAATGGTAGCGCCAGTAACGGTGGCACCAGCAGCCAACTGAACGGCTTCTCCCCCGAGGCACTCACCAGCTCCAGTCGCTCCAGCAGCTACAGCAGCATCGTCAGCAACAGCAGTAGCGACTCCAACACCAACAAGGCCAAGGGCAAACAATCCACTGCTGGTGACAAGCGAGCTACAGGGTTCTCACCGTTTGGTGAGAATGGCCTCCCAGGTGTGTATCTGTCTTGTGCGTCATTATCGAGGTGAATTCACTGCCAGACTACCATTGTTTGTCGCTCTACAATTTTGATGTATTTTCTAATTTGTGTGAGGAGTTGATCAATAGTGGCGTTTAATAGGAGTATTATTGTAATAATATGACATTGATGGAAACATCCCTTCCAAAGGTCTGTGTGTCAGATGAAGTGGGCCAATTCCTTCTGGTTATGTAAGCCATAGTGACTGTCAGCCCTGACTTGACTGACTTGATTTGGACTGTTTCAGGACCTATTGCTTCAGGACCTATTGGGATCAAGAACGGAGCTTCCAAGTCACCGACCAACAAGACCAGGAACCCCTGGAGCGGTGGTCCCCCATCCCCGGACACCATGTAAGCCCTAAATATCTCCATCTCTTAACATGTCATAGTATTTCTTGCTGAGTTATGCTGTAACTGTGTGTAGTTGCAAAGCGAGGCTCATTCTCAGTCTGTCACTGTCACTCACTCTGTGGTTGTTGATTCTGCAATACTGCTCTCATTCAAAGCAGAAACATCTTTTACATTATCAGATGATAGTTTTTAGGCTGTGTTGACAATGAAAAGAAATTTATTATTGATTTTTCTCTGAACAATTTTCCGAGTCTGCTCTCAGATTTTGCTGTTCAGCCATGTTTTATTAGTTACGGTGAAGAACACCCAAACACCGTCCATAGACTACTATATTTTCACAAATGTGTATGCTTGATTCTAATTGGACCATTTGAGACTTTTAGCCAAAGAGTAGCGCAGGCAGCAAAATGAAACATTTTACATTCAATAATTGAAACAGCTGTGATGTAAAATATGTTTTGACACAGTCAGTGGCCCCCATTATTATATAAAATAAACCTAGCTACATGAATCATATAACATAAACCTAGCTACATGAATCGCCCAATGTCCCACTGAGTGGAAATATTATGCGCCAATCAAAACATTATTTTTATACCAAGGTTCCGTCCGTCCGAAAACTTTGTCCGCTTGATTTCTCTTAAACTATTCAGTGGATTCATCTCAAACTTAGTACATATAATCTGTGTCATATGGAGGGGTGCAGTCAAAAGAAAAAAATTGTTTTTATTAATTTTCCATTTTTTTTAGGAAAAAAAGATTTTCAAACCCAAACCCTATCCACTATTTAATTTGAAACTACTGACACGCTAGGCGGGTCGGGGGTATTAGTGAGCCACGCTCACTTTTGCCCTTGTGTTTTTATGATTTTATTTCTTTTTGGAGTACACAAATAATATGTTTACAGAATATAGTTCACATGCAATCTTAAATACATACAAGTTACAAAGTATATATATATAGATGATAACAAACAAAAACTATTCCAGTGTCATATTGTTGGATTGTGCAAGTTCGTGGTTTTAAACGAATTGGTGGTGACAGAGAGACCAAAATGTCATGAGCTGTGTGTATTTACATTGTGAATATGATGTATTTCTGTCGATGTAATATGAATCGGTCATTTCTTGTTTGATGTGTTGAAATTTGGTATGGAGTCGGAAATGATTGATTTGAATATGTTTTGCTTTGTTACAGTTATAATATGGTTTAATGCATCATTTTGTTTTTGTTGATATCCTAATAAAATTGTCAATTTTGAATTTTTTTGTTCTATTCCAGTTTTGTCTTTGATCCATTTTGTAAGGTTGTTCCAGATATGTTTTACAATTTTGCACTCAAAGAACATGTTCACTAAGGTTTGTTTTTCTTGTTTACAAAAATTGCAAAGAAATGATTCTTCATATCCCATTTTGTACAGTAACTTGTTTGTTGGTATAATTCTATGAATAATACTGTATTGGAACCATTTTTGTTTTGAGGACAAATTACATCTGTGGGGGCTACGATTAATCGTTTGCCAATCTTTTTCCGTCATGTTAAGGCCAAGATCTAGTTCCTATCTCTGAATGTATTTTTGGGATATCATATTGTTGGATACTTTATTTAATATATCATAAAATACCCTAGTTTTCAAGGTAATATGGTATTAAGGGCAGATGTAACTTAGATGTTAGGGCTATACTCTAACACTTTAGATATTGTTTTATTGCTTGGATAAGACTAGAATATTCCTGAAAATGTGTTTTACAGTCCTATACATGTTTTAGGTCTAAAAGGTCTAGAAAATTTCCGTTCTCGTCTATCAAATCATTTACAAGATTAATGCCTTTTCCCAAGTAATGTTTATAGTATACCGGGGGGCGGTCGGGTAGCCTACTGGTTAAAAGCGTTCGCTCGTCACGCCGAAGACCCGGGTTCGATTCCCGACATGGGTACAATGTGTGAAGCCCATTTCTGGTGTCCCCCGCCGTGATATTGCTGGAATATTGCTAAAAGCGGCGTAAAACCATACTCACTCACTCACTATAGTATACCGGAGTGTTCCCGATTCTTATATTCGTATTTTGCCATAAAGGTTGTGATAATATATATTTTTAATCTTTGAAAGAGTTTCCTTTTTTCTATTAAGTGTCCCCATGCATACAGAACATCTTTCCAGAAAGCATTTGTCCTATCATTGATAACCCTTTGCAAAATATAGAATTGGCATTTTTGCAGAAAATCAATTTGAGTTGGAGTTATGTTATTAATCAAAAGAGTTGTAAGTTTAGAGTGTGGATGTGGATTTAATCCAAGATATCTTTTGAGCACTGATTGTATTTCTAATATCAGGCACTCTTAAACCTCACTCTTCATAATGTTTCATCATGTTATTTCTACTGATTTTGTTTTATTTTATTGGTTTATTTTACCATATAAAACGAAAACACAGTGTTTCGAGTTCTTTTATAAACCTTTCACTTGGATTAGGTAGTGTTGAGAAAAGGTGGGTTAGTTTAGGTAAAATAAGACTTTTTAGTACAGTAATTCTACCTTATGGGGGCATAATTGCGAGGTCGCAGCCTCGGCAGAACAGTGAGGTAGCAATAATGACAAAATGTCCTCAGTTTCCAGACCCAGTAAAAGTAAGGACTACTAGTATGAGCAGCATTATTATCGCTTATGTGTTGTTCCCCTTGATGTGTGATGTGTGATGGTATCTGATCCTCTCCTCTAAATGTGTGATGTGTGATGGTATCTGATCCTCTCCTGTAGATGTGTAGTAACTGATCCTCTCCTGTAGATGTGTGATGTGTGATTGGTATTGATCCTCTCCTGTAGATGTGTGATGTGTGATGGAAACTGATCCTCTCCTGTAGATGTGTGATGTGTGATGGAAACTGATCCTCTCATGTAGATGTGTGATGTGTTATGGTAACTGATCCTCTCCTCTAGATGTGTGATGTGTGATGGAAACTGATCCTCTCCTCTAGATGTGTGATGTGTTATGGTAGCTGGTCCTCTCCTCTATGTGTGTGATGTGTGGTGGTAACTGATCCTCTCATGTAGGTGTGTGATGTGTGGTGGTAACTGATCCTCTCATGTAGGTGTGTGATGTGTGATTGGTATTGATCCTCTCCTGTAGGTGTGTGATGTGTTATGGTAACTGATCCTCTCCTCTATGTGTGTGATGTGTTATGGTAACTGATCCTCTCCTGTAGATGTGTGATGTGTGATGGTAACTGATCCTCTCCTCTATGTGTGTGATGTGTGGTGGAAACTGATCCTCTCATGTAGGTGTGTGATGTGTGGTGGTAACTGATCCTCTCCTGTAGATGTGTGATGTGTGATGGTAACTGATCCTCTCCTATATGTGTGTGATGTGTGGTGGAAACTGATCCTCTCCTCTATGTGTGTGATGTGTGGTGGTAACTGATCCTCTCATGTAGGTGTGTGATGTGTGATTGGTATTGATCCTCTCCTGTTGATGTGTTATGGTAACTGGTCCTCTCCTCTATGTGTGTGATGTGTGATTGGTATTGATCCTCTCCTCTAGATGTGTGATGGTAACTGGTCCTCTCCTCTATGTGTGTGATGTGTGGTGGTAACTGATCCTCTCATGTAGGTGTGTGATGTGTGGTGGTAACTGATCCTCTCCTCTAGGTGTGTGATGTGTGATTGGTATTGATCCTCTCCTGTTGATGTGTTATGGTAACTGGTCCTCTCCTCTATGTGTGTGATGTGTGGTGGTAACTGATCCTCTCATGTAGGTGTGTGATGTGTGGTGGTAACTGATCCTCTCCTCTAGGTGTGTGATGTGTGGTGGTAACTGATCCTCTCATGTAGGTGTGTGATGTGTGGTGGTAACTGGTCCTCTCCTCTATGTGTGTGATGTGTGGTGGTAACTGATCCTCTCATGTAGGTGTGTGATGTGTGGTGGTAACTGATCCTCTCCTCTATGTGTGTGATGTGTTATGGTAACTGATCCTCTCCTCTATGTGTGTGATGTGTTATGGAAACTGATCCTCTCCTCTATGTGTGTGATGTGTTATGGTAACTGATCCTCTCATGTAGGTGTGTGATGTGTGGTGGTAACTGGTCCTCTCATGTAGATGTGTGATGTGTTATGGTAACTGATCCTCTCATGTAGATGTGGGATGTGTTATGGAAACTGATCCTCTCATGTAGGTGTGTGATGTGTTATGGAAACTGATCCTCTCTTCTATGTGTGTGATGTGTTATGGTAACTGATCCTCTCCTCTAGGTGTGTGATGTGTTATGGTAACTGGTCCTCTCCTCTAGATGTGTGATGTGTGGTGGTAACTGATCCTCTCCACTAGGTGTGTGATGTGTTATGGTAACTGATCCTCTCATGTAGATGTGTGATGTGTTATGGTAACTGATCCTCTCCTCTAGGTGTGTGATGTGTTATGGTAACTGGTCCTCTCCTCTAGGTGTGTGATGTGTGGTGGTAACTGATCCTCTCATGTAGATGTGTGATGTGTTATGGTAACTGATCCTCTCCTCTAGATGTGTGATGTGTGGTGGAAACTGATCCTCTCATGTAGATGTGTGATGTGTGGTGGTAACTGATCCTCTCATGTAGGTGTGTGATGTGTTATGGTAACTGATCCTCTCATGTAGATGTGGGATGTGTTATGGTAACTGATCCTCTCATGTAGGTGTGTGATGTGTTATGGTAACTGATCCTCTCCTCTAGATGTGTGATGTGTTATGGAAACTGATCCTCTCCTCTAGATGTGTGATGTGTTATGGTAACTGATCCTCTCATGTAGGTGTGTGATGTGTTATGGAAACTGATCCTCTCATGTAGGTGTGTGATGTGTTATGGAAACTGATCATCTCATGTAGATGTGTGATGTGTTATGGAAACTGATCCTCTCCTGTAGATGTGTGATGTGTTATGGAAACTGATCCTCTCATGTAGATGTGTGATGTGTTATGGAAACTGATCCTCTCATGTAGTTGTGTGATGTGTTATGGTAACTGATCCTCTCATGTAGGTGTGTGATGTGTTATGGTAACTGATCCTCTCATGTAGATGTGTGATGTGTTATGGAAACTGATCCTCTCATGTAGATGTGTGATGTGTTATGGTAACTGATCCTCTCATGTAGGTGTGTGATGTGTGATGGTAACTGATCCTCTCCTCTAGATGTGTGATGTGTTATGGTAACTGATCCTCTCATGTAGGTGTGTGATGTGTTATGGAAACTGATCCTCTCCTCTAGGTGTGTGATGTGTTATGGTAACTGATCCTCTCATGTAGATGTGTGATGTGTTATGGTAACTGATCCTCTCATGTAGATGTGTGATGTGTGGTGGTAACTGATCCTCTCATGTAGATGTGGGATGTGTTATGGTAACTGATCCTCTCCTCTATGTGTGTGATGTGTGGTGGTAACTGATCCTCTCCTCTAGATGTGTGATGTGTTATGGAAACTGATCCTCTCCTCTATGTGTGTGATGTGTTATGGTAACTGATCCTCTCATGTAGGTATGTGATGTGTGATGGTAACTGATCCTCTCATGTAGGTGTGTGATGTGTTATGGTAACTGATCCTCTCTTCTAGATGTGCGATGTGTTATGGTAACTGATCCTCTCCACTATGTGTGTGATGTGTTATGGTAACTGATCTTCTCATGTAGGTTTGCGATGTGTTATGGTAACTGATCCTCTCATGTAGATGTGCGATGTGTTATGGTAACTGATCCTCTCATGTAGATGTGTGATGTGTTATGGTAACTGATCCTCTCATGTAGATGTGTGATGTGTTATGGAAACTGATCCTCTCATGTAGGTGTGCGATGTGTTATGGTAACTGATCCTCTCATGTAGGTGTGTGATGTGTGGTGGTAACTGATCCTCTCATGTAGATGTGTGATGTGTTATGGTAACTGATCCTCTCATGTAGATGTGTGATGTGTTATGGTAACTGATCCTCTCATGTAGATGTGTGATGTGTGGTGGTAACTGATCCTCTCATGTAGATGTGGGATGTGTTATGGTAACTGATCCTCTCCTCTATGTGTGTGATGTGTGGTGGTAACTGATCCTCTCCTCTAGATGTGTGATGTGTTATGGAAACTGATCCTCTCCTCTATGTGTGTGATGTGTTATGGTAACTGATCCTCTCATGTAGGTATGTGATGTGTGATGGTAACTGATCCTCTCATGTAGGTGTGTGATGTGTTATGGTAACTGATCCTCTCATGTAGATGTGCGATGTGTTATGGTAACTGATCCTCTCCACTATGTGTGTGATGTGTTATGGTAACTGATCTTCTCATGTAGGTTTGCGATGTGTTATGGTAACTGATCCTCTCATGTAGATGTGCGATGTGTTATGGTAACTGATCCTCTCATGTAGATGTGTGATGTGTTATGGTAACTGATCCTCTCCTGTAGATGTGTGATGTGTTATGGAAACTGATCCTCTCATGTAGGTGTGCGATGTGTTATGGTAACTGATCCTCTCATGTAGGTGTGTGATGTGTGGTGGTAACTGATCCTCTCATGTAGATGTGTGATGTGTTATGGTAACTGATCCTCTCATGTAGATGTGTGCTGTGTTATGGAAACTGATCCTCTCATGTAGGTGTGCGATGTGTTATGGTAACTGATCCTCTCATGTAGATGTGTGATGTGTTATGGAAACTGATCCTCTCATGTAGATGTGTGATGTGTTATGGTAACTGATCCTCTCATGTAGATGTGTGATGTGTGGTGGTAACTGATCCTCTCATGTAGATGTGTGATGTGTTATGGAAACTGATCCTCTCATGTAGATGTGTGATGTGTGGTGGTAACTGATCCTCTCATGTAGATGTGTGATGTGTTATGGTAACTGATCCTCTCATGTAGATGTGTGATGTGTTATGGAAACTGATCCTCTCATGTAGGTGTGCGATGTGTTATGGTAACTGATCCTCTCATGTAGATGTGTGATGTGTTATGGTAACTGATCCTCTCATGTAGATGTGTGATGTGTTATGGAAACTGATCCTCTCCTCTAGATGTGTGATGTGTTATGGTAACTGATCCTCTCATGTAGATGTGTGATGTGTTATGGTAACTGATCCTCTCATGTAGGTGTGTGATGTGTTATGGTAACTGGTCCTCTCCTCTAGGTGTGTGATGTGTTATGGTAACTGATCCTCTCTTCTAGATGTGTGATGTGTGGTGGTAACTGATCCTCTCATGTAGATGTGTGATGTGTTATGGTAACTGATCCTCTCCTCTGTGTGTGTGATGTGTGGTGGTAACTGATCCTCTCCTCTAGGTGTGTGATGTGTTATGGAAACTGATCCTCTCCTCTAGATGTGGGATGTGTTATGGTAACTGATCCTCTCATGTAGATGTGTGATGTGTTATGGAAACTGATCCTCTCCTCTAGATGTGGGATGTGTTATGGTAACTGATCCTCTCATGTAGATGTGTGATGTGTTATGGTAACTGATCCTCTCCTCTATGTGTGTGATGTGTGGTGGTAACTGATCCTCTCCTCTAGATGTGTGATGTGTTATGGTAACTGATCCTCTCATGTAGGTGTGTGATGTGTTATGGAAACTGATCCTCTCCTCTAGGTGTGTGATGTGTTATGGTAACTGATCCTCTCATGTAGATGTGTGATGTGTTATGGTAACTGATCCTCTCATGTAGATGTGTGATGTGTGGTGGTAACTGATCCTCTCATGTAGATGTGGGATGTGTTATGGTAACTGATCCTCTCCTCTATGTGTGTGATGTGTGGTGGTAACTGATCCTCTCCTCTAGATGTGTGATGTGTTATGGAAACTGATCCTCTCCTCTATGTGTGTGATGTGTTATGGTAACTGATCCTCTCATGTAGGTATGTGATGTGTGATGGTAACTGATCCTCTCATGTAGGTGTGTGATGTGTTATGGTAACTGATCCTCTCTTCTAGATGTGCGATGTGTTATGGTAACTGATCCTCTCCACTATGTGTGTGATGTGTTATGGTAACTGATCTTCTCATGTAGGTTTGCGATGTGTTATGGTAACTGATCCTCTCATGTAGATGTGCGATGTGTTATGGTAACTGATCCTCTCATGTAGATGTGTGATGTGTTATGGTAACTGATCCTCTCCTCTGTGTGTGTGATGTGTGGTGGTAACTGATCCTCTCCTCTAGGTGTGTGATGTGTTATGGAAACTGATCCTCTCCTCTAGATGTGGGATGTGTTATGGTAACTGATCCTCTCATGTAGATGTGTGATGTGTTATGGAAACTGATCCTCTCCTCTAGATGTGGGATGTGTTATGGTAACTGATCCTCTCATGTAGATGTGTGATGTGTTATGGTAACTGATCCTCTCCTCTATGTGTGTGATGTGTGGTGGTAACTGATCCTCTCCTCTAGGTGTGTGATGTGTTATGGAAACTGATCCTCTCCTCTAGATGTGTGATGTGTGGTGGTAACTGATCCTCTCATGTAGATGTGTGATGTGTTATGGTAACTGATCCTCTCCTGTAGATGTGTGATGTGTTATGGTAACTGATCCTCTCCTCTATGTGTGTGATGTGTGGTGGTAACTGATCCTCTCCTCTATGTGTGTGATGTGTTATGGTAACTGATCCTCTCATGTAGATGTGGGATGTGTTATGGTAACTGATCCTCTCATGTAGATGTGGGATGTGTTATGGTAACTGATCCTCTCCTCTATGTGTGTGATGTGTGGTGGTAACTGATCCTCTCCTCTATGTGTGTGATGTGTTATGGTAACTGATCCTCTCATGTAGGTGTGTGATGTGTTATGGTAACTGATCCTCTCCTCTATGTGTGTGATGTGTTATGGTAACTGATCCTCTCATGTAGGTGTGTGATGTGTTATGGTAACTGATCCTCTCCTCTATGTGTGTGATGTGTTATGGTAACTGATCCTCTCATGTAGGTGTGTGATGTGTTATGGTAACTGATCCTCTCCTCTATGTGTGTGATGTGTTATGGTAACTGATCCTCTCATGTAGATGTGTGATGTGTTATGGTAACTGATCCTCTCCTCTATGTGTGTGATGTGTTATGGTAACTGATCCTCTCCTCTATGTGTGTGATGTGTTATGGTAACTGATCCTCTCCTCTAGGTGTGTGATGTGTGGTGGTAACTGATCCTCTCATGTAGGTGTGTGATGTGTTATGGAAACTGATCCTCTCCTCTATGTGTGTGATGTGTTATGGTAACTGATCCTCTCATGTAGGTGTGTGATGTGTGGTGGTAACTGGTCCTCTCATGTAGGTGTGTGATGTGTTATGGTAACTGATCCTCTCATGTAGATGTGGGATGTGTTATGGAAACTGATCCTCTCATGTAGGTGTGTGATGTGTTATGGAAACTGATCCTCTCTTCTATGTGTGTGATGTGTTATGGTAACTGATCATCTCCTCTAGGTGTGTGATGTGTTATGGTAACTGGTCCTCTCCTCTAGATGTGTGATGTGTGGTGGTAACTGATCCTCTCCTCTAGGTGTGTGATGTGTTATGGTAACTGATCCTCTCCTCTAGATGTGTGATGTGTGGTGGAAACTGATCCTCTCATGTAGATGTGTGATGTGTGGTGGTAACTGATCCTCTCATGTAGGTGTGTGATGTGTTATGGTAACTGATCCTCTCATGTAGATGTGGGATGTGTTATGGTAACTGATCCTCTCATGTAGGTGTGTGATGTGTTATGGTAACTGATCCTCTCCCCTTGATGTGTGATGTTAACTGGTCCTCTCCTCTAGATGTATGATGTGTTGTCATGTCGTCCCCTCGTGTTGCAGTGGCAGTTTTGGCCTGACCACCATTGAGGAGAACTCCTCAGCACCCTTCACATCCCAGTCGGCCAGCATCGACTCCTTTGGCCAGCAAGAGTACGGCTTCACAGGGAATGGTAAGACTTGAGGAAGACAATATGGGAGGCTGTGCTGTCATAGAATAACAACTGGACTGGACTTGTATCAGCTAAACTTGTACAACTAAAATATGGGTTGCCAGTCTCTTGCTTTTAAAAAGTGTCTAAGTAGCAGACTGCTGTGTTGTTAACAAGCCAGGACAGGGTATGTAGTACGTTGCCCTCACTAGGCCTTGATCTACTTGAGCAAAGTTAAACATAGTGTATGGGGTAAAGATGACATTTTTGTCACAAGGTTTGTTTGTGAGGTTTGTATTGTGTGGTTGCAGGCTACACAAACCCAATGGAGCAGATTCCCAAGCAGCCATCCATGATGCAACAGCTGATGGCAGAACGTCGCCGCCGATACAGAGAACATCAGCTCAAGATGCTCAACAAGGGTAAGTCTCTGACTGCTTGGCCAAGTTGTTGGATTTGCGTTACCTCCCTCAGCCGTGCAGGTAGCCACTGGTTGTCTTAGCTGTGCAAGGAGCCACTGGTTGTCTTAGCCATGCAGGTAGCCACTGGTTGTCTTAGCCGTGCAAGGAGCCACTGGTTGTCTCAGCCGTGCAGGGAGCCACTGGTTGTCTCAGCCGTGCAGGATGCCTCTGGTTGTCTTAGCCGTGCAGGAAGCCAATGGGTATCTTAGCCATGCAGGTAGCCACTGGTTGTCTTGGCCGTGCAGGGAGCCACTGGTTGTCTTAGCCGTGCAGGTAGCCACTGGTTGTCTTAACCGTGCAGGGAGCCACTGGTTGTCTTAGCCGTGCAGGTAGTCACTGGTTGTCTTAGCCGTGCAGGGAGCCACTGGTTGTCTTAACCGTGCAGGGAGCCACTGGTTGTCTTAACCGTGCAGGTAGTCACTGGTTGTCTTAGCCGTGCAGGGAGCCACTGGTTGTCTTAGCCATGCAGGTAGCTACTGGTTGTCTTAGCCGTGCAGGTAGTCACTGGTTGTCTTAGCCGTGCAAGGAGCCACTGGTTGTCTTAGCCATGCAGGTAGCCACTGGTTGTCTTAGCCATGCAGGTAGCCACTGGTTGTCTTAACCGTGCAGGGAGCCACTGGTTGTCTTAGCCGTGCAGGGAGCCACTGGTTGTCTTAGCCGTGCAAGGAGCCACTGGTTGTCTTAGCCATGCAGGTAGTCACTGGTTGTCTTAGCCGTGCAGGTAGCCACTGGTTGTCTTAGCCATGCAGGTAGCCACTGGTTGTCTTAGCCATGCAGGTAGCCACTGGTTGTCTCAGCTGTGCAGGTAGCCACTGGTTGTCTTAGCCGTGCAGGTAGCCACTGGTTGTCTTAGCCGTGCAGGTAGCCACTGGTTGTCTTAGCCGTGCAAGGAGCCACTGGTTGTCTTAGCCATGCAGGTAGCCACTGGTTGTCTTAGCCATGCAGTTAGCCACTGGTTGTCTTAGCCGTGCAGGGAGCCACTGGTTGTCTTAGCCGTGCAGGGAGCCACTGGTTGTCTTAGCCGTGCAGGTAGCCACTGGTTGTCTTAGCCGTGCAGGGAGCCACTGGTTGTCTTAGCCGTGCAGGGAGCCACTGGTTGTCTTAGCCGTGCAAGGAGCCACTGGTTGTCTTAGCCGTGCAAGGAGCCACTGGTTGTCTTAGCCGTGCAGGGAGCCACTGGTTGTCTTAGCCATGCAGGTAGTCACTGGTTCTCTTAGCGGTGCAAGGAGCCACTGGTTGTCTTAGCCATGCAGGTAGTCACTGGTTGTCTTAGCCGTGCAAGGAGCCACTGGTTGTCTTAGCCGTGCAGGTAGCCACTGGTTGTCTTAGCCATGCAGGTAGCCACTGGTTGTCTTAGCCGTGCAGGGAGCCACTGGTTGTCTTAGCCATGCAGGTAGCCACTGGTTGTCTTAGCCGTGCAGGTAGCCACTGGTTGTCTTAGCCGTGCAGGGAGCCACTGGTTGTCTTAGCCGTGCAGGTAGCCACTGGTTGTCTTAGCCGTGCAGGGAGCCACTGGTTGTCTTAGCCATGCAGGTAGTCACTGGTTGTCTTAGCCGTGCAGGGAGCCACTGGTTGTCTTAGCCGTGCAAGGAGCCACTGGTTGTCTTAGCCGTGCAGGGAGCCACTGGTTGTCTTAGCCATGCAGGGAGCCACTGGTTGTCTTAGCCGTGCAAGGAGCCACTGGTTGTCTTAGCCGTGCAGGTAGCCACTGGTTGTCTTAGCCGTGCAAGGAGCCACTGGTTGTCTTAGCCGTGCAGGGAGCCACTGGTTGTCTTAACCGTGCAGGGAGCCACTGGTTGTCTTAGCCATGCAGGTAGTCACTGGTTGTCTTAGCCGTGCAGGTAGCCACTGGTTGTCTTAGCCGTGCAGGGAGCCACTGGTTGTCTTAGCCGTGCAGGTAGTCACTGGTTGTCTTAGCCATGCAGGTAGCCACTGGTTGTCTTAGCCGTGCAGGGAGCCTCTGGTTGTCTTAACCGTGCAGGGAGCCTCTTTTTGCCTTAGCCGTGCAGGGAGCCTCTGGTTGTCTTAACCTTGCAGGGAGCCTCTGGTTGTCTTAACCGTGCAGGGAGCCTCTTTTTGCCTTAGCCGTGCAGGGAGCCTCTGGTTGTCTTAACCTTGCAGGGAGCCTATATTTATCTTAGCCGTGCAGGGAGCCACTGGTTGTCTTAGCCGGCAGGGAGCCACTGGTTGTCTTAACCGTGCAGGGAGCCACTGGTTGTCTTAACCGTGCAGGGAGCCACTGGTTGTCTTTACCGTGCAGGGAGCCACTGGTTGTCTTAACCGTGCAGGGAGCCACTGGTTGTCTTAACCGTGCAGGGAGCCACTGGTTGTCTTAACCGTGCAGGGAGCCACTGGTTGTCTTAGCCGGCAGGGAGCCACTGGTTGTGGGTTTGAATTTCAGATTTTCCGCAATTCGCTGCAATACCGTACCTTGGGTAGTCTCAAGTGTCGGCACCTGTCTCTGGTTTCACTCAAGTGTCGGCACCTGTCTCTGGTTTCACTCAAGTGTTGGCACCTGTCTCTGGTTTCACTCAAGTGTCGGCACCTGTCTCTGGTTTCACTCAAGTCTAGCACCTGTCTCTGGTTTCACTCAAGTCTAGCACCTGTCTCTGGTTTCACTCAAGTGTCGGCACCTGTCTCTGGTTTCACTCAAGTCTAGCACCTGTCTCTGGTTTCACTCAAGTCTAGCACCTGTCTCTGGTTTCACTCAAGTCTAGCACCTGTCTCTGGTTTCACTCAAGTGTCGGCACCTGTCTCTGGTTTCACTCAAGTCTAGCAAGCGTTTTTGCTCCCAACATTAGTCTGACAATATTTGATATAACCATGATAAGTAACACACTGTTCAAAGCAGTTTCAGTGCAGCCACTCACCTGTGTCACCATGTTTGAGAACTGTTTATTAAGCCTTAACTGCATCTGTGACACCTATTTGCATTCTGTCTATCACATGTTGAGCCTGTGTTGAGAAACAGTGTGGTTACAGCAACCAATGGAGAAACACTCATGTCCATCTTACTGTGTAATGTAGGTGAAGACTGGCCTGGCTTTGATGTTCCTCCTGTCAGGAGTGACAGCTTGTGGGACTCCGAGTACAACCCACTGGAGAACGCCTGGTCCGTGGCCACAGACTCTCCTCCCAGTGCCAATGTAAGTACTAGAACACCCCCTCCCAGTGACAACGTAAGTACTAGAACATCCCCTCCCAGTGACAACGTAAGTACTAGAACATCCCCTCCCAGTGACAATGTAAGAACTAGAGCACCCCCTCCCAGGTCGATTGGTAGTTACTCGATATTTCAATAACAACAATCTGTGAAATATTATACCCTTTTCAAACAGGCAAAAAGCAGTTTTCTAGCATTTCCGACAGTTTTTTAGAACACCTCCATCCCAGTGCCAATGTAAGTACTAGAACACCCCCTCAATATGGCCACAACAACAGATTAGTGGGTGTACTGTGTTACAATCATCCCTCCTGCTGTTTCAGGCCGGTGGTTTCTGGAATGCGCTGACCAGTTCGGCCACCAGCGGCTGGAACAACCTGACCTCCATCTGGTCCAACAATCCCAGCACATCCTCCTCGTCTGCCATGGAGAACGAGGTGGTGTACCCAGAGCCGACATACTCAGGAAACTCCAGCCCACAGGTAAGACTAGTCTGTCAGCCTGGACCACACCCTCTTCAGCCAGCAGGACCCCTGGTGTTAGGATAGATCCTCAGCACTATGTAGCTTGTCGTAAGAGACAACTAAAATGCATAGGGTTGTCAGGCTCCATGATTGCATGTCATCATGACCCAACAACACGTGATGTTACTCATGATATCAACCAATGCTGGTCTCCCCGTGGGATTCCAGGTTAGAATAGTTCTCCAGCAACCAATGCTGTATGGTCCAGATGCAATTATATATAGGTCACTGTCATATAGCTGGAATTTTGCTGAGTGTTAGGCGACACTTTTTTTACGGATTTTTTACTTGGTTTACGGATTTCAAACTCATTTCAAAAGTGAGGAAGGCCAATTTAAAAAAAAAAAAAAGCCTCTCACATTTTTTTTTACCTAAATTTTGTCCTAAAAAGTTAGGTAGGTATGAAAAAAAATATCCTGGCGTAATAAAAGTAAAATACCTCAATTTTTCAAGATCCTTTTATTTGGCACTCAGCTTGTGCAAGGATGGCAACATAACAATATTCATGGAAATGCATGAAAGACGCTGCTATTTTGGCAGCAAATGCATGGGCAACGTTGAACTCTTTCAACACCAGCCAACCAGAAGATTACTGCTGTGACACCAAGTTCCCAGAGACTGTTGTGTGATAGATGAAACCAACATTTATCAAGGAATTATCTTCTGAAATTAACATCTTTACTACTACATGTTTGGCCATACACTATTTGAAAGGTCTAATTAATCCTATTGTTTATAAATATGAAAGTTATGTGTATTACATTATTTAAATAATTCATGAACAACTATATAAAGTTTGTTTTAAATAAAAAATAATGTAAGCTAAAATATTCATATCATCCAAATTTAGCGCAAATTTAACGATTTTTTCGGCAAATTTAAGAAGTCATAAAATCCACTTACCTATTTCTTTTATTATTTTCATTTGTTTACGTTGTTGGAACATTATTTTAAAAAGAATTTCAAATAATATCTGTCATCACCCATTTCCCGATGATAGTGGCTGTCCGCTCACTAACATGAGGAAACACCTCCGTTTTCAAAGCTTCGTATGAATAACACATACGTCCTGCCATGTCAGTATACATTAAAAAAAACTTATATTGTTTCGCTGACAAAATCTGCTACAAGGTTCGTGATTGGTCAAATTTAAGCATGTGACCTAAGGCAGCCAATCAAATTACAGCAACGGTAATTTTCAGACTTTGGCGAAAGGTTTGGGTTAAATCATGTTTTCTGAACGTTTTAGCATGAAATCGCGATCTATATTAAAAATATGGAACTTTAAGGATGCATAGAGCTAGGTTACGAGCTGTGACAAAGATTTCTTATGCATATATTTTGGCATTAAGACATCGTGTCCGAGCCAAGATGTCATTTGACTTACGATATGCGATCACACGAAAAGTTGGAAATAATAAATAAGATGTCAGTTTGGCAACTTTATAGATATATTTTTGATGATTTTATTATTTTGTAAATAAAGACGTTTCAGAACGTGAAACGTCTTTATTTTGCTGTTTGACATGTTCGATGAGGACCCGTTGTCTAAGTGTGTCCGAGAATTATATTTTCAATAACATTGCGGGAAATAGTGTCAAGATATGAAGTGAATATATTTTTAATCTATTGATAAAAAAATGATAAAATCAAATGGAATACGTATTTCAGACATGGTGAAATGTGATAGATTTAATAAATGAATGATATGACAAGTAGGTTAATATAATTATAAACTATTTTGACATGGCTTGGACGGTCTACCGTGCGGTGTGACTTGTGGTTTTGAACGGCCAACAGTGTTGAAATAGTTAAACTGGTCACCACTGCGCTTTGCGTTGACAAGCTTTGATGGTATTAGAGAAGGATCCCAGCAATAAATATCAGAGTGGCTTCCCTTTGCTTTACGCTCGACGAGGAAAATAAATCTTTTTTTGTTTGAACTTTTTGTCGAAAAGATCGGCGGTAATTAAAAAAAGGGTAATTTTCATTTTTTTTTTTTTTTAACATTTGGACTTTGAAAGAGCGGCGCATCCGTAAACCAAGAAATTAAAAAAGTGTCGCCTTATGATCAAACAATTGTCAATGATTGCCAATACTATGTGTTTGAAAATAATATAACCACTTCAGTTTAATATGAACAGGGGGCGGTCGGGTAGCATAGTGGTTAAAGCGTTCGCTCGTCACGCCGAAGACCCGGGTTCGATTCCCGACATGGGTACAATGTGTGAAGCCCATTTCTGGTGTCCCCCGCCGTGATATTGCTGGAATATTGCTAAAACCGGCGTAAAATCATACTCACTCACTAATATGAACAGCTCAGATGAGTTTGTTCTCCATTACTGATTTTATCTGAATCTTTTCAAATTCCACATGCTGACTTGAAATGTCTTAAATACTGTATGCAGACTTGATTACTCAATTAATGGAGCACTTACACATATGAACTGATGCACCTTATTGTTCAGATCTCCAACGCTGGAACGTTCAGTCCGTTCAGCCCGACTGTTGACATGGCCATCTGGAGCCCCAAGGCCACCACAGCCAACACAGCCGGCACAGGTTGGGGCCAGTTCCTCCCCCCAGAGGGAGACAACCCTAAGAACACTGACAACTAAACTGTAACACAACTTAGAGTGACCTCCCTTTATAGCATTCCCAGCAGCTCCTCGGAGTGTTACACTGCTCTGTTTGCTCTCTGTACCATTGCTGCCAACACTTACTTAGCCCAGTGTAGATCTCACCCAATAAGTTTATTTCAACATTTATGGTAGTAAGTTAGGAGAGATAAAATCTAATGTGTAGATCTGTTGCCACATTACATATGTTCTATAACTTTGTCTAGGCTTAATTGATGGAACCAGACAAATATACCTTGACCATTATCAAATTATAAGTGATTTCAAACTTGTGACATTAGCTAAATCTCACTGGTGGAAAACTAGACAAAATTTCAGTTCTTTGGAATACTTTACAGTATAGTTTAATTTGAGCCATGGAGCAAACATTTCCTTTATCACTCTGGCGGCAGCAGTGATACGGAGCAGTGCATCACCAAGAGTAAGCTACCTTTGTCTTCAGAACTAGACTTGAACTCCCCCACCAAGTGTTTGCTGTTTGTTGGTTTGTTTTGTTGCCCTCTTATCATGTGTATTATCCTACCACCTAAATACAGATATTGTAACATGTGGTGTAGTGTATGATATACCTCCTTTAAAACCCACCTAGAATTTCATTGGAACTACTCGAATGATTAGCAATCGTTCAGTGTTAAGGACTCAGTAGTTTTCTTTATGTGTGCTACTTGTATCTAGGTTATTGCATAGTTATCTCATGTCCACACAAGGAAATGTGAACTGTAGCTCGCTGATGTTGAGTGAAGAGACATGTCTCTAGCTGTAGTGAAATGTGGACTGTGTAGGTGGCTTTGGCTTTAAGTGAATAGATGTGTATCTATCAGTAGCAAGTGTCATAACTGTAGCTCCCTCATCGTCTTGTCAGAGTCAGAATGTCTCCAGATACTGCTTGTTCAACTATACTAGTGCTGTTTGTATATATGTTTAATTTTCAAGGGAGGTCACTCTATGTTAGCATCTGTGAAGGATTGTTCACAGGAGGAGTGGTCATGATAATCAAGTATATCTAAGGTGTTCCTCGGGTTATGGATTTGAGAAACATAGTTATTTTTTTATTATACTGCTCAAACATTTGACCGACCTTTCACTGATGCAGTCCTGATGAATTCCAGTTGTTGTGTACACAGGTGGATCAGCAGTCATCGCTGTCTTGTGGTGCAGTCTGGTTTGAAAGCAGTCCAAAAGTTTGATGTCAGTTAATTTGAAATTGAAGAGATGCATGCACTCATGCACACACACCTCCGTGAATATGTTGATGTGCTCAAAGTAAATATCAGAGAGAAAAAACACCCAAATCCTAGTGTCTGGGTCTCTGGAAGCACGGCACAACGTGGCATAACGCTATTCACTGACAGAGGGAGAATAGGACAAATAGAGCTGTTATAAGTATTGACTTGGTCTTTGAGAGCCCTGCAAGGTTGATTTGTTGTGAATGGAAATATATCTTTCTCCCCCACTCACCCCTCCAGTGCGAGCACGCACGCATGCACCCTGAGGAATTAAGGTTGAAATCTGATGTCATACTTTTGAACTGCTTTCCAGAATGATTGGTGTGGAATGGCTCAACATACTGCTACTGTGTTACAATTATGTAATGATTTATCATGTGTGATGTTTTAGAAGGTTATCAGTGCCTGAGAGACACACTGTAACGGGTGGCCTTGATCAGAATACACACACACATGCACAACATTGAAATCCTTATGTGTTTTACAGAATAATAAGAAATAATTTGTTGGTGATCATGCCCTATGTGAGTGTGATGTGTCAACCTGATTTCAGAGAAGGATCATTGTGATGAAACTGATCCAGGCTACCCAATGTGAAATATATGTGTGACATGTATGAAACTCCAGCTGGAGTTGCAATCTGTATATCCAGTCAGGCTCTCAACTGTGGCCCTGGATCTTGACACCCAACTATGAAGGCAAGTCATGCGATTTGTAGCGACGCTCACCATCACTGGGACTATCACCTGATACAGGAGTTGCCTCCCCTGGTTATCCCCATCTTGTTTGGGTTGATGACGGAGCCTCCTTGACCTTGACATTCACCCCCCACACCAGACAGGCAGGTTATGTGAAGAGCAGTCTGTTCTGTGTCGTAACTGTCAGTCACACAAACTACACGATTATACAATTCCAGGAAGTTCTTGAATTTGTATGTTCTTATGCACTGGATGCTACACAGTTACTCCTGTCTACCTGGTGAGGAGGAGGAGACAAGACTTGAACTATTGACATGCGTGTGTGGGATCAGAGCTCCACTTCTGAACAGTTGAGGCAGCAACAGAAGTCACACCCTTTATTGCAGCTTCTCCAAGTCTCTTGCAAAGACATTTTTCTGTAATTTCATCAACTCTGTTACAACACAAGAATGTACAATGACCTGTATTCATAGGCTTGAATGGAGCTCTTTAGAAGTAGGAATGCAGCTGTCTTTACAAGAGTACAACTCTCTCACTGGAAGTGTGTCACTTCCATCAGCAGACAGTGTGAGCTCTGACCCATACACGTCCCTACAGAGACCGATGCTTGTTGTATGTACATTGTAGCCTCTCTGATACTCAAGTTACCCTGTTAAACCAGCAGGGTATGTCCTCAGTCCATGGGTGTGTTGTAATACCAGGACAGATGATATGTCCTACTTCTTTAACAGTATGTGAACTGTTCTTAGAGTTGGACACAACTGATAAGTTTTAATATGATGCTATTTTACTGACACTGATGAATACTTTGTTATTGACTAGAGAACTAGATTGTAATGCCTGGTGTGGCATTGAGTAACATATCAGTACCCAGCTCGGGTCACGTAGTTGGCTTCATTTTGTGATTGAGTATAGCTATAGAACGTGCTCTCCTCAAATAAGCTTTGTATAGTCTCCCACTTGCTTTCATTGGTCAGTTATTTAAGAAAAACTTTCTTTTTAAGCCATTTAAAAAACATTTAGTTACATTTCAGTCAAAAAGGAAAAATATTTATTTCCATTTTTGTGTGTGATCAGCACAGTGTGTGTTATACTGTGTTTAGGCAAAATTAAGAAGTACAACTTGACATAAATTTTCTTTACAACTAATTACAGACAAGTTCAGGCTTCAAGTGACATGATTGGTCGGTCTGGTTACCGGGAACATATATATTTTATTGTTTGGCCTCAGCACCTCTCCTGTTGGTGTTGTAGTTGGTGTTGTTAGCACAAGTTTGCAGGCAGATGGCCGCCGGATGGACGGACGGACGGACGGACAGACACTCAACAGTCCACAGCACAGTGCTTGTAGTGGAGGAGGAAGCTTTAGATTGGAATATTTTCCTAAGTAATTGTTGCGTTTTTACCTTTTTTTAATATTGTTAAGATGCTTTTTTGTGAATCATTATAAATGTTTGTGTCTGTGATAATTTAAGTATCAGAGAGGTTAGGCTGATTTGTAAGTCTCCCAGAGTTGGTCACCTGATTGTGTGAACATCAGCTCTACTGTATCGAGGCAGTGGTCTGCTGGCCTCGGAGCTGATCACCTGATTGTGTGAACATCAGCTCTACTGTATCGAGGCAGTGGTCTGCTGGCCTTTACCTGGAATGGTCCTATATGTTACTTTTACATTTTCAAGGCTTAGATGTGAAGAAAACATTAGCCACAGGTTTCCCTGGCCGTGCCCACTCTCCGTGGTCAGACTGACCCGGGGAGAGGTCAGGGGGACCGTCTGTTTGTCTTTATCACTGGTCTGTGGTAAGAAAGAAGTGCTCTAACAAGAAACTTCTGCTGCGGATCGTGTGTCCGTTTTACTTTAAAAAATAATAAAATAATTTCGTTTTTATTGCATTTTGTCTTCTTTGTTTTGTGTAAAGGACTTGTAACTCAAGAAGGATACTGTTTTGAACTAAATCTTCTGTGAACAGGGTAAAGAAAAAGACAATTTGAGTGTTTTCCCATTTTTGTTTTGACTGGTATGAGAGGTAGTGATTTGTGATGTCATCTTACAAAAAACAGGTTGAATTTCTAAAGAATGTGATGCATCGATAGATTAATAGATTTGTTTCTGATACTTTACCTTAAGTGTAAATTGAGTGAAGGCAACCCCGTAAATCAAAACATAACTCCCTGGAAACAAGTTACAACTTTTAAGGTATCACTATTTACTATTTTAACATCTTTTCCCAGCAATTGCGGTTTAAGGTCACTTTTATATATGAACATATATTTCTGATTACCCCGTAACTAAGTTGTTTTAACACAAGTCTATTCTAAATTCCCTCGTTGGACGAAACATTAGCACAAGATGCCCCTGATGATTATACCACACAACTTACTCACAACCAGTCGAATCACACTTACGTTCAGCCTGAACTTAATCAATATTTTCATGTTTATTTCAAAATTGGTTTGGGTGCGTTTTGGCACACTGTTTAACTGCTGCATTTGCTCAAACAACACCTGGTATCATGATAGTCATTCATAAACACATGCTCATGATATAGTCGGAATCTTACTATCATGTCTTAGGAATATGGAAAGGGTTTGTCGCTTTTTTTAGTTTTAGGCCATTTGCTGCAGGTAATGTCATTCATTGGTTGATGACGTCAGTGAAGTGATGCCATTGTTCCTTAAGAAGTAGCGATGTTACGTGGCAGATTTATAAGATGTTCATTTCACTGACATCTAGGCGATCTGACAGCAGAGAAAAATATACTAGGCTTTCACACCGTCAAGTGTACCGCAAACATGTGCAAGGATTAGATACTGCACAGGTTGTCTATGCCGGTGGGTGTGTTTGTCATGAACTTCAAGCTACATCAGACAGGTAGCTGAAAACAATTAACAGCAGTATGGGGACACGATGAGAGCCACTCAGCCAAGTCCCAGAATCGGAGCACCTGAACCCAGTGTAGTTGACACTAAGTGATTCTCCTGAATTTTGTTATGAAAATGACAATCACCCTCCTTATCAAGCCACGACAAAACTGCACAGTTTTATTAAAAACTTTATTTGGCCGCAAAAAGTACATGTTATTTCAACAAAAGTTCCTGTGACATTGAATAAGATTTAATGCAATGTTATGTTTTTTACCAAATCTGAAACAATTTCGGTTTGCAACAGATAAAAGACTCCTGTAAGTATTCAAATGGTTTAATTTGCCATACTGACTTCAGAAAATGCGTGATTTCATAAAAAACATGAACATGCCAAAATATCAATTTACAAAACAATAGCGTGTGTGTCCACTTCTGGTTGCGATGCAAGCAACACATCTTCCGTCTCATGGAAGGGACCAGGCGTCCTGTGGGATATCTGTCCATATCTGCTGGAGCATATTTTGAAGTTCCTGGAGTGTCTGTGGAACACGTGGTTGACGTCGAAGGCGCCGATCCATCTCTTCCCACATGTGCTCGATTGGTGAGAGATCAGGGGAGCGAGCCGGCCAGGGGATGACATTCACGTTGTTTTGTTGAAGAGAATCCTGAACAAGTCCTGATATTTCCCTCTACCAAACGGGTCCTCTGTCTTGCTGTAATCCGACCCCATACCATAACGCTGCCGCCCCGGAACCGATCTTCTTCCATGACACAATGATTGACGTAACGTTCACCTCGACGTCGGTATACTCGAATCCGTCCATCGCTGTGGCTGAGGTGAAAACGAGACTCGTCAGTGAATAGAACTTGTCCCCGCTGCATAGCCGTCCAGCGTAGACGCTGTCTGCACCACTGTAGACGTGCGTGACGGTGGTTTCCTGTCAAAATGGGACGTCTGGCGGGTATTCTGGCGACAATACCTGCACATCTGAGGCGACGACGTACGGTTTATGAAGATATTCGTCGAAGGCCAGGGATGCTTCTTGCAGTCACTGTTGCTGGCTGGAATCGATTTCGTAGGTGTGTTGTTCGAATCCAATTGTCTTGTCGATTATTGGTTACGCGTGGCCTGCCACTTCGAGGATGGCCTCTGACTGAATTCGTCTGTTGCCAACGTTGTCATAAACACCAAATGGTGTTTCTGTGGACGTTAAATTGTCTTGCAACATCACGTTCCCACTCAAACTCTGAATCAGAACTCGCAGTTGAGTCACTGGCCCGGCTCCCTCAGCTGACTACCTTTGGATACGCCCCCCTCAGACACATCCCCCGTCTCACGGACTTGTAAACCGTCCATCTCCATAGAGCGTTGACCTTTCGAGACAAAGAGAATATAATTTATCTTCGACAAACTTCGGGAAGATTTTCGCATGTGAACCGTTTTCCCCTCACAATACACGTTGGGGCCGTGTCACAAGTTGGGATTATTAAATATTGCCAACCAAGTTTATGGTTAATTCACCTCAGTACGGTCTCTGATATTTTCAAAACAGAACGTCAGGGATTCAATTGGAATTATATACTCACACGCAAAAGAAACGCAAGTATACATGTTATTTATTTTCAACAGTAAAGACAAGAAATACTAATAGGGCAAGATTGACAAGATCCCACAAGTGTTCGATGGGGTTCAGATCAGGGCTGAGGGCTGGCCACAGTAGAACACGGATGATGTGTTGTTGCGGAAAGACCATGGTAGCTCTGGCAACATGGGGACGGGCGCTGTCCTGCTGGAAAAAGTGTTGATGATGTTCAAGAAATGGTGTCTATTTGTGAAACATACAGTGGGCAATGGAGGTTTACATTTTCTCCGTCAAAGCGCAAATTATTGACCTTTGGCCCATCAAGTGCCGCTAACATCATTATAACATTGTATACAGAAATCACTACTACAAGAGAAATTAAACATATTGGAATTTTACTTGACTCGGAATACAGCTCCTGGGAACGGACATTAGATGCCTGCTCAAAGATGAGGTCTACCACAATGGCGTTGTTAAGAACAGGAGTCCACGTAAGAGGACTGAACCCTCTAGTGAGTTCCAACATCTTAAAGAATGTCTATGTACCAAGAGCCCTGTATGGATGTGAATTGTGGTGTGGCTTAAGCAAAGCTGAACTGTTATCATTAGAGCGTGCCCAGAGAGCTGCATTAAAAATTGCACAAGGTCTCCCTCGAAGCACACGGTCTGATATTTGTAATGCCCTGATTGGCTGGACCCCCTTGGAATCTGAAATAGACAAGAGAAAACTTCTGTTTCTAGGGAACCTATGCAATAGCAGAATAACGTTCCTTCCGAGAAGAATTTTCAGTACTAGGCTTTCCCTCTCAAATTACTATTGCTCTACCGCTTCCCTGGGTTATGTTCCTGACATTAAACGTATCATGTCTAAATATAATCTTGAGCAATTCCTGAGCAGCTTTAGTACCCATGGTACATTCCCCAGCTGTCATACCTGGAAGAAAGTTGTGAAAGATGCCATTAAAGCGAATGATCTTGAAGCCTGGAAAAGACGCATAAACTCTGATCCAGACCTAATGCATTTTAAACAAATTCATCCGGTTATCTCCCCTCACAAAGCATGGGAAATTGCTAGAAGAAATCCAGATCTGAAACAAGCTGCAACCTTCGTGATCCACTTGTGCGCACTCTGGAGACCTTGGAAAGTCCAGGGTGTGTGTGACATGTGTAAGTTTGCCCACCAGGACTTGCTCGTTCATGTTGTGTGTATATGTCCACAGACAGAGCAACTCAGAGACAATTTGTGGTGTAGCATAGTCGACACTTGTCCAGTGGAAGTCAGCGTGGCTCTTCATAACAAGCAGGAAATTGAGTTAGTTTGCTGTCTCCTAGCATGTATGCCCCCGATCCTAGCAAATCCAGAGACGGTAGAGAACTTTGCAAAAGCTGCAATCAAAGGTCTCTTCCAATTGAAGAAATATATAGACCTTGTGAAGAAACATTTGATGTTCTGACATGTGAGCAGGGATAGACATAACATAAGAATGCCTGTTTTCGTACACTTGTAAATGCTGTATTTATATGTTTGTTACTCTCCTATGGAGGAATGAAGAATATATATATATATATATATATATATATATATATATATATATATATATATGACGCTAGGTCCACCCCATAGATCCCTTTCCACAACGTTTCTGTCAGCGAAACGATCACCTCGACGCCGCCAAATTCTGACTCTTCCGTCTGCATGGAAGACACAAAAGCGACCTCCACTCACGATGACGCCAATTGCGATGACCCTGTGCCCACTGAAGTCGTGCTTGTCGATGCCGTGGTTGGAGAACAGGACGACGTGCTGGTCGGCAACATCTGAGGTTGTTAGAACGGAGACGTCGGATCAGAGTGTCCCGGCTAATGTGTCGATTATGTGTTCCAATGGTCTGTCGAGCACTTTCACTTGCAGTTAGGAAAGGATGTCGCTGGTGTTGACGGGTAATCTGCCGATCTTGTCGAGGTGTGTTGACCCTAGGACGACCGCTCCGAGGAAGGTCATCTGTGGTCTGTGACTCTGTGTAGCATTGTATCGATGCAGGAGACGGTAAATTGTGGTTATGTTAACGTTGAAATGACGGGCAACATCTTGGACAGACTCTCCAGCTTCCAAACGTCCGATAGCCTGGTTTCTCTGAATTTGAGTTAGGCGTGGCATTGTTGACCAAGGAGTGTTAGGTCCAAGAATCGGCCACAGCATATACCCACTACATTTCGTGACAGTTCGTGCATTTTCGATTTCGCGAGAAATGGGTGCATGATACCCACATATTCATTGAAATAGTGCGTTTTGGCGATTCGTTTTTTATGTTGCGTTTTTACTCGGTGCTTCCAAAATGCAACCAAAAATATTGATACCACCACCAGGCTTCACTACATGCTAAAATTCGTATCAATTTATGGTTCCGTGTTTGTTACCTATTTGCTTAAAACCACTTGCGTTTC